CATTTTCTCCCATTTTATTATTGCATTCCTATCTACAGAAACCAGAGGAAAATGAGGGAAATGATAGTTTGACTAAACAAATGTCAGTTCAGATAATCTTTGGTCAGGAGGAATATTGTGTTTTATGAGGAAAAATTATATCAAGCAGTAATCAGGACCAATTTTTGCTCTTTATAGAATATGTGTCATCACATTGGCAGAATCTCATCCAGTTCTTCAAAGTGGAAAAACAATTAAAAGCATTTCCTATCAAATCAGTACCAACTGTAGCAGACTTCAGAACAAGGTCTCTGGGAAATTTAAACGGGTATGTTCCTATAATTCTCCACTTAAATCCTCTACTTCATAGTAAAGATAGATCCACTCAATCTTAGAATCCAGTGATGTATGCTCAGCATCCTTCCTTGGCAGTTTGAGATTGCTGATCTTAAGAAAACATTGACCCTAGAGAAATTCTCAGACCAAAAAAATGAGGTATTTCAGGAGGTTTAGGGTCTGTCATTTCAGGTTCTCTATCACCACCTGTCACCCCCAGGATGAAGGGGAAGGTGGGTTTTTGAAAGGACAACTCGAATACCACTATAAAGAGATACTTTGTCCCTCCCAGTTTTGTTAAGCCAGCTTTTGAGTTCTGTAAAACTCTACACCACATATTTCCACAAGTAAATTAAAAAACAACAAGAACATTTCCTGAGGTGGGGGGGGGGGGGAAGCAATTGTGTGTGTTTTTTTTAATATATTTTATTAATTTTTTACAGAGAGGAAAGGAGAGGGACAGAGAGCTAGAAACATCGATGAGAGAGAAGCATCTACCAGCCGCCTCCTGCACACCTTCCACTGGGGATGTGTCCACAACCAATGCACATGCCCCTGACCGGAATCAAACCCAGAACCCTTCAGTCAGCAGGCTGACACTCTATCCACTGAGCCAAACCGGTTTGGGTAAAAAAAGCAATCTTAAAAAATATATAGTATTTGCACCTTAGCATTTTCCATCGCCTATTTCATACACATACAGCCACACCCTCTACTTCCACATAACGCTCGGTTGTACAAAATGCTATCTCTACCCTCTACAACCCGAGGCAGGATGAGCATGTTAAAGGAGAGGATCACTTTTAGTAGATCTATCACAGAGGATGCTTTAGGTCCTTCGTGTACTGAGTGCGTACTAACAATTTCTGCCAATAACCCTCACTGTGACAGAAGACCCTTGTTTATACTCCCCTTTGTTGGCCTGAAATCCCCTAACGACGTGGCTTATGAGTATTGATATTTTCCTCACCTCAGGAAACATGCACTTAGAAAAGCACATGCCATTCTTAAAAAGACAAAATCTGCAAATTACAAGTAAAAACACTTAGTACTTCTGAAAGTCCTGTGATAAATCTTTACCCAAAATAGTAACACTGTTGTTACTACTGAAGAACAGAGACAGAACAAATAGAACTCACTGCAGATAAGTTTTCATTAGATCTCAGCACTGCCTGCCATTTAGTCTTCCAAGGGAGGTGATAAAAAGGAGTCAAACACTCTGCTCTTTTGACATAGTCCCAGTGGTAGACAAGCCCTCTGGAATGAGTACCCCACCCTTCTAAAGGTGGGGAGTCCCGCCGAAACCGGTTTGGCTCAGTGGATAGAGCGTCGCCTTGCAGACTGAAAGGTCTCGGGTTCGATTCCGGTCAAGAGCATGTACCTTGGTTGCAGGCACATCCCCAGTAGGGGGTGTGCAAGAGGCAACTGATTGATGATTCTCTCTCATTGATGTTTCCAACTCTCTATCCCTCTCTCTTCCTCTCTGTAAAAAATTAATAAAATATATTTTAAAGGTGGGGAGTCCCATGGACTAGTATTTTGAAATGAAGTATCCACATGCAGAGGAGTGAAGCCAATGTGGTACATAGGAATGTTGTACAAGAATGTTTTGAGGGGTAAAGATCATAAAGCAGAGCAAATTGACCTCAAATGTCTATGTTCACTCTGGGAAAAATTCCTGGATGGGGGAAAAAGAGCAATACACGAGACATGGCTGCCTCAGTTCCCATGAGCCTCCTTGTAGATTTTTGTCAGAAACTCCCCAGATATGTCCATAGGGTATGGAGTACATGAAACAATAACATGCCTTAGCATTCTAACAGATGTCAAAATGTGGTATTGCCCTAGCCAGTTTGATTCAGTGGATAGAGCATTGGCCTGTGGACTGAAGGGTAGCATGTTCGATTCTCTTTTGTTGGCTCAATCCCCAATAGGGGGCGTGCAGGAAGCAGCCGATCAATGAATCTCTCTTATCATTGATGTTTCTATCTCTCCCTTTCTCTCCGAAATCAATAAAAAATATGTGTATTTTTAAATGTATTTACTTCTGGGTTATAGGATAATGGGTAAATGGCTCTTATTTGCTACTTATAACTTACCTGTTTTGCAAATTTTCCTCCAAGTTCATTACTTGTTAACTAGAAAAACATCCCTTTTTCAAACCATCTTAGAGAAGGTCGGAATCTTAATGAAGTTAACTTTGTACAATATTGGTGTCACACTCTCATGTTGAATTTTCTATTATTATTTATTGATGGACTTTCCTACACTGTTGAAACCTTTATAGCTATATGCAGCTTTCTCATTTGAAGTTCCAAAAATATATTCTTAATCTTTAAACTACCTGTTATCACATGTCTTAGTTTGCTTTTTCCCCTAGAATTCAGGTTGGTACCTGGCCCATAGCAGGTACTTACATGTTTAATAAATGATTTTTAAAACACTAATTCCATAAATATATCTTATGATGACACTGAGGGCTCCCTCTCAAAGGAAAGTGAAAATGTATATCAATTAATTACTTCCTCCCTTTCATTTTCAGGGAGCACAGTTTCTAACAGAACTTGCACCTCTGTGTAAGATTTACTGCTCAGATGGGGAAGAATATACTATATCTAGGTAAGTTACTATTTAACCACAAATTAGGAGATAAAAAAGGAGGTAATATTCTTTTTCAAGACAATTCTTTTTTTCAATAGCTGTGTTAGAGGACGACTGATGGAAGTGAATGAAAATATTCTCCATAAGCCTTCTATTCTTCAAGAGAAGGTAAAGGGGGAGAAGTATGATCCCATCCACATACTTTTCATCTGATTTTTGTCATATGACAGTACTAAATGTTCTATTTCCTTTGTAGCCATCCACTGAAGGTTACATTGCAGTTGTGTTGCCCAAATTTGAAGAAAGTAAAAGCATAACAGAAGGGTTACTGACACAAAAACAGTATGAAGAAGTTGTGGTAAAACGCAGTAATGCTACAACAGCCACATCGTGAGGACTGAGATGGCATAAAAAAGCAATGCGGCACTCGATCCGGACACTGAAGTAGTACCACCGTGTGGCAGGAGCGTACTCCGCAGCCAGCCTTCTGCAGGGAAGCCTGTTTGTTTCCCCCCTTTCTCTTACAAGACAAGCCTCGGTTCCCATTCGTCTCAGACCTGCCCAGCCATGGAGCTAGCCTGCTCCTCTTTTGCTCTTCTCTTTCTAAAAAATGACAAGCAACATTTCTGATTAAAAAGGAGAGCATTTTGGGGGAAATTTGGAAAAGAAGACACAAGTTTTAAAGTAGCAAGTAAAAATAATCTATGCATCCTATAACTCATTAGTAAATACTACATTTTGACATACTTCTGTTTGAATGTTATGGCATGGTTAATTGTTTTTGCTCAAACTTCCATCAGTTTGATGGCAAAGGAAACAACAGCTGACCTTTATTACCCAGCGTGCTTCACTGTGACTCTACCAGAAAGTCTAGTCCCACCCCTTCTGCCCCCAGTCCTCTCCAGGCTGTAGTAAGAGGCTGGGTGTAGATGTACCTTCTCTAGTCCTTTTGCCACTGGATGTCCTTCCTCTCTGAGGCAAAGCAGAACTAACACTATGGCTTCTTCTATGAGGAACAACATGAAAAGGCTTTGAAAAATACAAAGGGCTTTCCTAATTTATGGAAGCATTATAATGCAGTACATACATTAATAGTGATACAGTAACAGTCTCACACTAGCTACAGGGTAACAAGAAAGGAAAAGTTACTGTAATTCAAAGACAGGCCTTTGAATAGAACAAAAGCTTTCACATTTGAATTAAAAAACAAAACTGAATATATGTTTTAAGATTGCATACTTATTTATACTTAATTTTAAATAAAAGACTTTAAAAATGTTATTTTTTAAAGGCTGAAACATGTCTATCTGTTTTTAAATCCAAACAGTTGTTTATACAGAAGGAATCAATTGACATGTAAATTCCTTTAGTTCCCTTTCTTATGCTGTAGAAGTCCTAAGTCATCCCTTCCCCACCCGACTTGAACTTAAATAAGAGAATATTATTTCAGGTCTGTAAAAGTGTCTTGTAAATAAAATTTAAAAATTATTTCTGACTTACAAGAAAAACTTCTTGTAACTTAAGTGCCAGCATGACTGTCCCCAGGTATACCCACCAGGCACGATCCAGGTGGTAACTCTGCAGACATCTCCACTGATCCTGCTGTGACTGAGAATGTATCAAACCAGCAGGCCCTGGTTTGGGCAGCACAATGATTGTAAAAAAAAAAAAAATTGTATATTTTACATATAACTAACTACCTTTCATCATTCACCATTATTTCTATTGTAATTTAAAAACATTTTGGTTCCAGGGAATAAAAATCATGCTTTATGATTTTTATAAAGAAGAGGCACATACAATTCAAGTTTCCTTCAATAAAATACTGACTACCTAGTTTGTAGTACTGCGGGTCTTTGGAATCTTGTGACTGTTGTGATGGCTAACCCAGATAAGAGTCAGACAAGCTTATAAAACTAGCCAGTTGGCAACTGACATGTCCTGTTAAGATTTCAAAGCTTTGGGATACAAGCACTATCGCAAGTCCAAACCAAAGCTAACTGCATTATATCAGGTAGGCAGGGCCTATAAACCTTCCATCAAATCCCACCCCACAAAAACAAGAAAGGCTTTAAACCCTGAAATTAAAAAGAATAAAGATGTTTATTTGTTTTACAATGAACATTCCAAGAGCACTTATATAAAATGTATGGTTCAGAATTTATTTTAAATCGCTTCTTAGTTCTATCATTCTCTTATATCTTCCATTCCATCAGTCACTACTGAAGACAGTTTAAAAACTACTTTTTTAAAGCCAGCACAATAGGTTCAGGATTCCAGCTAGTGTTCGGGGTAGACGGGCTGCTCGGCTACAACTAGAACTAAAAGCCATCTCCTGTGAGTTCCTCCAGGATTCCGGGGCCTGAGCTCCATGACCCAGCTTTGCGGGTGGAAGGGCTATGCATCACAACAGATGGCCTTGGCCTGTGAAAAGCTTGTTAGAGAACAAAAGTGCGCTCCTCGCATGGATGGTCTGTGACAGCGGGTGGCCAAGAGGCCCACTCACACTTAGAGGGATTGAAGAAGAGTCCACAGGCTTAAGAAAACTGCTTCCAACCAGACTACTGTGTATTTCCAGCTTAAATTAGTGTTCTAGATGATAAGCTTAAATAAAAAACGGAAAACAAAGTTAAAATATGCCAAAGGTAAGCACATAATCAAAATAGATTCTTTGGATTAAACCGTCATTAAGACAGCTGGGATATTTGGCTTGATTTTTAAAGAATATTGGTGGCAATGTCTCATTTTAAAATCACACTGCTATTAGAGGTCTAGCAACTACCACAGCACTTCATTGTCAAAAAGCCACGATCGGTGTCATGATCAAAAAATAAAGCAGAACTTCAGTGTTATTTTCTTTATAAAGTGACTGAACTCCAAAAAATATAAAAGATCATTTGCTTTAAAAATGTCAGCTTTGCCATATGGTGTTCCCGAGATCTGTCCTCAAAAACTTCTCAAGTTTTACCATCCACGGAATCTTTATTCGTGACTGAGACCCATCTGTTGTTTTCCATCTGAAGCTGGAAAGAGTTAACATAGTTCATTTATTCTTTAATTTCAGAATGAAATTTGTAAAATTAAATAACTATTTTCTTTTGCATTGTCCTTTAAACTAGTTTTTAAAATGTGAGAAGATAGAAAACTATCTCACCTTCTTCAGTAGTTTAAAGCAAAGTGAGAGAAGCTGAACCAAAATAGCCATCATCGATCTTGTCTTTGTAATACATTTATCAACCTATAGTGACAAAAAGTGAGCAAATCAAACTCCTTTACAATGGTTACTTCAAAAGACTTTATCACCATTTAACTTTTAAATGATAACGTTTCTTCATCATGGAACTCCAAGGGTTCTTGATAACCTGAGGCTCTAGAACACAGGTGCAAGGATTGTTGCTGGTTCTTATGCCCAGTTCATGAATCCCCAAAGAACGGATGGAAAATCAACCCGTTCTACTTTAGGCTATTTTGGGGTTTCTCTAAGCATTTCAAATAATGGCAGTGAACCCCCTACTTTGTATTGTAATTCCTCCAGCACTATGCTTTGTGGCACTCCAATTAATTCCCTATGAATGGAGCCCCTACTCAGGAGTCTGTGCCTTAGACATGTGCTGACGTTAGGATTAAGGGAAGTGACTTAATGCTATGGAATTAGGCATATCAAAAAAGCTGATTTATTAGGCGAACCAACTGCTTCTTGGGTCATTTAGAACTGCAGATAATAGGTGACTCACATTCATGGCAAGAAAAATGGAAATAAATTGCTCTTCTGTGGTTATTAGCTTTTTATTTGAAGAAAAAGGGCTGGAGGCTAACCTGCTAAAGAAGTGCCCAAGTCTCAAGTGCCTCCCTGGATAGCCCACCCTCACTGTTACCTTTAGAAGCCCTTGATTCTGCACAGGTGTCTTGGTTATTGTCTGGAGCTGGTGGCAGAGAGGGATTAGCTTGTTTATTTCCAGGAGAAGCATAAGCTTGTCGTCATCTTTCAGCTGAAATGTAATTTGGGAAGTTATAACATAATTCCAACAAATTCTATCTTTCAATCTTAAATAATATACCCCCAAAATGTGTATTCATGACATCACCACCAACTCATTACCTGTTTTGAGAAAGCTTGTGCACTTGAAGCAACCTTTAAGCCCTCTTCAGCGAAAACCTAGTGGGAAGAAAGAAATATAACTACTTTCAATGTACATCTTCTGGATAGTTGGAAGGAAAAATACTCATAAAAGGCCTGTCATGGTGCACATACGTTTTCCGTTGCACCCAGGAAAAAACAAGATTTTAGTGGTATCCAGAAGGTTGCTTCCCCTAAGGAGGTTCCTCTACACCTGGACACTTCCAGGGTTCATGGACCTATGATACTTAGCCATACAAATTGTGTCTGACCTTCTGGAGGCATCCAAAGCTCACCCTGTAATACCCCTAATTATAAATGGGTGACGAATTTTAGAACATGAGCTGATAAGGCTTAGAACATCCCTACTTCCAGCTAAGCAAGATAAAATTTGTCACCTACACACATTCTTTAACCAGCCACTCGAGGGGAGCAATTCAGATTGTTTTTTGCCTGTTCACCACGCATTTCACAACCCAGTAGGAGAACAGGATGATGGAAAAAAAACGGTGACAAATGAGTTGGACTGATAAGAATATTCAGTTTAAGTGAAAGATACCAGGGGAGTAAAAAAATGAAGACTTGCCAAGACCGGTTTGGCTCAATGGATAGAGCGTTGGCTTGGGGACTGAAGGGTCCCGGGTTCGATTCCAGTCAAGGGCATGTACATGGGTTGCGGGCACATCCCCAGTAGGGGGTGTGCAAGAGGCAGCTGATCGATGACTCTCTCTCATCGATGTTTCTAACTCTCTATCTCTCTCCCTTCCTCTCTGTACAAAATCAGTAAAATATATTTTAAAAAAAAATGAAGACTTAACTTTAAATGGCAGCAGTAAGAATGAAGTGAACAGGACAATCTGAGAATGATTTGTGAGGAAAAAAACAACAACAGGTTTTGCTCATAAATTATCATAGATGAGAAATATGAATGCGGCAATAATTTTAGGGATAACTCACTTCTCTGTCCAATAGCCTTAACACGTGCTGTTATTAGATAAACTGATCTCAAGGTCAAATCATCCTTTGCATCCTTCCCTCTCCTTTAAAAGGAAGACCAATGAGTTTTATACTGAGCTTCTAAACAAATGGATTGATTCACTCATATATTCCTCCTCATTCTACATTACCACTTTCTATTTTACCTATCTCTTCTTCCCTTCTAGCCTATAAACCTTTTGAGTGCAAGATCCACATCAGTCTTATAGTGTGTCTTGGTGTTTTTTTTTAAAACCAGCATTTTTGTAATTCTTTTTATTATTATTATTATTATTGATTTTTTACAGAGGGGAAGGGAGAGGGATAGAGAGTTAGAAACATCAATGAGAGAGAGACATCGATCAGCCGCCTCCTGCACACCCACCGGAGATGTGCTCGTAACCAAGGCACATGCTCCTGATCGTAATCGAATCTAGAACCCTTCAGTCCGCAGGCTGACACTTTATCCATTGAGCCAAACCGGCTTTGGCGTGTCTTGTTTTTAAAACCACCATAAAGCTGATTACTTCCAAACCTCTCTCTCCATTCCTGAACTACCCTGATATCAGTCTTTAGCAAAATAATGTTCAATTTCCACCCTGTAGATCTGGTGTAGTACCTTGGTGTCCCCTATCTCAGCAAACAGCACTACCATTTACCCTGTTGATCAAGCCAAAAAAGCTTTATAATGTAGTCAGATCATGCTACCTCTCCTCAAAACCCCCAAAGACTTTTCCTTCACACCTGGGGGAAGAAAGTTTCTTCCGTGGCTACAGAGATGTCATATGCTACCAGTTTCTTTCCGGCTCACTCCATGTCATCTACACTGGCTTCCTTATAGATTCCCCCAGCCTAGTTTCATACCTCAGGCAGGGCCTTTATACTTGTTCTGTCTGCCTCAAATAGTCAATCCCAGGATATCCATCCATCTCACTTCCTCAGTTACTATCTCTATGCAGATGTTACCTCCTTAGAGATGTCTTTTCTGATGGCCCCTCTATCCCCTCTCTGTGCTTATCCTACACATTTTCATCTCTAAGTCCTTACAAACGGGCATTATATACTCGTTATTGTCCTTCTATTAGAATGTAAGCTCCATGGAGACAGGGGCTTTGTTTTGTTCACTTTTATCCATAGAGTCTGACCCATGTGTCCAGGGTCTGACATATGGTAGAAACTCCATCAATAGTCAATGAACAGTTTATGTTCAGCAGTTTGTAGGCAATTCAACAGGCATCAGTGTCAGCTCACACAAGAAGGTGAGGAATGGATCTTCAGCAGTGAAATACCTATTTTGCTGTGTATGACTTGGAATGAATCTAGAATTTATTCCAACTGTTTCAAGAGAAAAAGCTCATTTCTGTAAAGTCAACTTTACAGAAAAATCCAGAGAAATATTTCTACAATTCTTCTGACTCAGTGGACAAACATCCTCTCAAGCTGCACCTCCCTTTCCTCGAGAGGCCCAGGTGGAAGCATGGGGAGGCCAAAGAAAGTGGTATAAAGGTGATTAAACTGACAGAAGCAAGAATACTCTTGGTTCTGGAGGGGCGAACAGACTGACATGAGAGTCGGGAAGATAAGAAGAAATCTTGTCATCTGCTTCCATGTGTCAAACACAAGGCCCGCGGGCCAAATCCGTCCCACCAGGCCTTGCAATGTGGCCCGCACCGCGCTGTCATCACTGCACTCCGCTGCGTTTCCATCACAATGACAGTTTATGACTGTTCAGTAAACCATTCGGCCCGCGATTTAGGCTGGATTTTAGATTTTGGCCCCTTCTCTGATTGAGTTCGACACCCCTATATCTAAAGCATCTACCTAAGCGAGAAGAATTAGAAATGGGGCCATGTGCAGTTCCATTACACACACAGGGCACAAGCGTGGGTGTTGGTATACCTGTCTCTCCCTGATTGCCCCAAATCATCAAGAATATGGAAGAAAAAAGGAGACTAACGTGTACCGAGTCCGCTCTGATAGTCTCAAGTCTATGACTGATACTTTCTTGTGTGTTATCTCATTTAATCACTAGCATTCATCTAAACAATAATGAAGAGGCCAAAAAGCCTTTGAGCATTCAGGAAAATATGAGAGAAATGCATCTGCTGACAGCATAGTTTCACCTACTTGGGAAAACCTAAAACTTATTATGTCCTCTATTGATGACATAGCCCATTCTACTTTACTCCTATTATATTTAAGGGTGTGTTTCCCCCCAAAAAAAGCTCCATAAAAAGCTACAGCAAGCTCTCTACTTTTCTTTCACTCTCTGTAGTACACATGTGTGCATAGGTAAGCACACAAACATGATACCATAATTATTTAGAAATTAGTTTTATCCATTTTAGCCCAGAATTGAAGTAGCAGCAAAAAATGGAAATAAAATTTACCTCTAATTGATGAATTAAATCCTGGGAAGTTTTCAGTGGCCCCTCTCCCCTGAAATAAATGAATTAATAAGAAGGTAAGAAAAAGTCATTGTCTGGGAATTGGTTTTGCAACATTAAAGTAATAAAACATTTTGTATATTAAGAGATCCCAAATTTTGAAGACTCTGGAATAGATTCATAATATTATGATTTTATTCTTAAAACAACTTTAATTATTATTTCTTGGACACTTTAATTTTTTTTACATATTATACATCTTAATATTATAATTAAAAAAAACATCTCACAAATTATATTAAAGTTTTATTTTTCCTATTTTTCTCATTTCTCATTCCAATTTCAACTCAAGGAGTTCAGTTGTCTTTGATAAAGTATGTTATTTAAGTTTCAATTCTGAGTCTGTAAAATAATCGTAATAATACTTGTGTACCTCATCAGAAGGTTAGGGAATATCAGATTGAAAACCACCAAGAAAAATTAGATCCTACAAATGAACAGTGAATTACCACAAAGAGCAACACAATGCATGAATCTGGACTCACAATGCATGAGTCGGGAGGCTAAGAAGTTTATATAAACCGTTAAGACAACAATAAACAATAGCCTGAAGAAGAGCTATAAAATTACCCAGGAAAAATACAAAACTGGATACTGCGAGGTCCAACAGATAAGTCTCTGAAAGAAGCAACTAGATGAGATTGGTAAACCACACAGTCTTAAGGGAAAACAGAAAGAATTGGAGAAAAAAACAGGCCTACTAAATATGCTGGTAGAAAACAAAGCCAGCTCCAGGTTGTACAATTCTCTTAACAAGACTTGCCCAAACAGCACAAGGTGTTATCTATCCATCACAGAATCTGATTTCCTTGTCCTGAGATTCAATGTTCCTGTCCAATAACTATCTTCGAGCAACAAATCCCATTCCACAGAACTGGAGTGTTCCCTTGCCCTCATAATGCAACCTCTCATGCTTCCCATCTCTGAGGGATGCATGTCATCCTTTATCAAAAACCACTATTCTGACTGTGAAGCAAAAAAAAAATGCTGACCATATCATCCTGAAACATTCTGAAATAAGAAACAAGAAATAAAAGGGGAATGGCAAACAGGAAAAAAATCTACTCATGAAACTTTTCTTAGGGCAGATTTTATATATCAGACTATGTTCATTAATAATGTATTTCTCCAGTTTTTATCAGTCAAAATAAAGTTTTTTAAAAGATCTGATTTTTATCACCATGAGATTATTAGCATGATTCCAGCCAAAAGTAAAGATCTTTGTTATTTCAGTTTATCTGTGCACATTTTCTTGTTGAGAAAACAAAGGAGTTCTATTTTACTTTCTTTTGTAGACTTGACTTAACAGATTTTTAAAAGATATGAACTAAAGAAGGTCATAGTGCTGGGAAGACTTAATCCCAAGAGAAGCTCACTAAAACAATTAAGAACAAAGGAAGGAAATCACCAAAGAGGAAAGGTCACCAATGATGGAAAATATGGTAAGGTGTTAACAAATGACTGCTCAACACAGAAAAAATAGCTCAACTGTCATTTTTCCTTTGCCCTCCAGAAGAATGGTTTATCTTAAAAGAAACAGAAGACACACACAAAAGGGAAATGAATGCTGAGTCCTCAAATTCTTTCCACTAGTACACATCCCTCCCTCATGTTCCCATCCCACTAAAGAGGTGGACATTTATTTATCCTCTCAGACTTTCTGAAAATAAATTGGACATGGTAGCTCTTTCTTTTCTTTTTCTCTTGAAAGTAAAGTTACCTTACAAAGATTCCTGCTCTTTCAAGAGTTCCTGTGGAGTAAGATTTCTTATTTATAGAATTTATTTGTTAAAACCTACCAGCCTGTGGATATAAATTGCATTGTCCAATATCAGCTTTACCAGTATAAATGTAACTGCCCCCCATCTGCCTAGTCTTCTGCTTATTTTTGTATTTTGTTCCGACTCTGGGTAGGGAAAGGGAGCTATTTATTGAGCCCCGATGCCCACACAGTAGTAGAGAACCTACCAACTTTAATCAAGCAGCTTTAATCTACCAACTTAGATTCCAGACTAAATGGGTTACATTTCAGAATACTGAAACAACATGCAGCTGTGAACCACTGCTGACAATATTTCAAAATCAAAATGAGTAAGGAGAGGCCATAACATTAGATAGATCGAGTACTTTCTGGTTCTTAAAGATAAAAAAAATAGATTTCAGAAAATTAGTGAAATGTTTCAAGTCATTCCGGGAGAAAATTCTAGAACAGACTATTGAGCTGATAACCGATATTTAGCAACATGGTATTACTATCATATACACATACTAGTATACATTATTATACCATATAGGGAGGTTATTATAATGGAAGATTTTGGAATATTTGCTCAAGAGTCTTATGATAATTGCAAAGTTATTGAAAATCTGTGCTACACAATAAATAGTGACACAGATATTTGGCACTCTGTTGAAGTGGTAGGCCTAATGGTTCTATTATTTGATCTGTTTCTAATCAATCATTTATATAATGATTTAAAAGGCATGTTTTGTAAACTTACTGATGCTGGCTGGGTTGATGTAAAGGATAAAAAAAGTAGAATCCAAATTTTGAAAAGAATGGGATATAAACCTAGAAGAGAATCCCTACTACATCTAAGTCTTAATTGTGTTCTTGTTGCTTTCACATAATTGACATAAGAACGACATATATAGACTTCTACCATGCATACGAAACTGACTCAACCTATCAGTGATTTAACATGGCATTTTTTTCTCTACACTAGATATTACATTGATTTTATTTTATTTATTTTAATTTTTTAAAAAAATATATTTTATTGATATTTTACAGAGAGGAAGAGAGAGGGATAGAGAGTTAGAAACATTGATGAGAAAGAATCATTGATCAGCTGCCTCCTGCACACACCCTACCGGGGATGTGCCCGCAACCAAGGTACATGCCCTTGACCGGAATCGAACCTGGGACCTTTCAGTCTGCAGGCCGACGATGCTCTATCCACTGAGCTAAACCGGTTTCGGCTTAAATTGATTTTAAAAGATCAAAATATATTTACCTAGTAAATAAATATACAGAATAGGCCATCTTGGACATGTTCCGCCCATATCGAACAATCTCATTCTCCTGATTCTCCCACTTCTCAATCTCGCAGTTGGCATCGGAGGTGAGCAAACCCAGCTTAAGTCCAAGCTTTGCAATCTTGGCTTTCTCCTATAAGATATGGAGAAGATATTTTAATCACAATAATTTTGTTATTACCAATGTAAGAGGGAGATTAGAAGTAAGATTATGAAAAAGAAAAAGGTCTTACCTCAGAGTCAGACTTCTCTGGCTTTAATGATTTCAGGTTTCCATTATTCTTCTGTGACATTAAAAAGATCAAGATAAAAGATTAAGTTCAATGTGAGGAAATACAATAGTACTAGAAAGCATAATAAGACACCTGTAATAAAGTTGTAACCTAAACATTTTCAGCACACACTTCTTAAAGTATATTAAGTTGTTTACGTTAAAACAAAGAACTGACTGCAACTACTCTGCCACTATGTGAAGCTCAGCTTGGAAAAGGTAGGTAGTTAGAAATCTGGGGCGAGGGAAATGGAGCAGAAGGACCAAAGGACTTGGGCATTTTCCCAGAGTCGTTATTATAATTATTCTTCTGAAATGATGTAATAAAATTAGCCACCCTCTGTAGAGGTCCATCTGCCCCTAGCGTTATGACTGGAATTCAACGCCTATATCTGATGTGCCTTTGAGGGCTAAATTTCAGCACCCTCGTTTCACTGACATCCTGATTCCCAATTCTTCACCCAGCTTGTATGGAAGATTATATCCAGAATTTAGGGTTTAATATTTGAACCAACATGTTGGACATGCCCCTATATTTGAAATAGCAAATCTGTTTCTATGTGAGCTATTGGAACTCAGAATCTATTTTCCCTGGGAAAGCAGAAAACACTGTCCACCAGTTAGGTTTCCAGGCTTGCCCGCAGGTGCCTATTGACTAGAAGGATAGAAAACACTACTCATAGCAATGGTCCTTTGAAAAATATGTTCAGAAGTCCTCAGTGATGGCAGACCAGGTTGGACATCCCTCTCACGCTGAGATCTGTTGGGAGCTCCCATGGTTGGGACAGGAGTTCCAGAACAGCTGGGTTCATGGACATAAAGGGTCCAGAAAATGCAGGGAAACTTTTTTTTTTTTTAAAGGAAACAGTTATTTAAACAACTAGAGGCCCAGTGCACAAAATTCATGCACAGGTAGGATCCCTAGACCTGGCGGCCCTGATCTAGGCCTTCTGGCTGCTGACCAGGGCCTCCCTCCGATCTGCACTGCCCTCTGGTGGTCAGTGCCCTTTATAGCAAGCGATTGAACTCCCAGTCTCCTGGTTGACCTCCCAACAGGATACTTTGAATATCAGCCTTTTATATATATAGATACACAATCACAATCTCTTTCTCTCTCTCTCTCTCTCACTGAGAACACAAAATATAAATTATAATAAAGCAAAACACTCATGTTCTCACTTAAGAAATAGATCATCACCAACATTTCTGAGGTATAGGTGTACCTCTCTGTTTTTGTTGCCCTCATTATTACCATGACTTATTACTTCTAGCCAGCTACTGTGTCACCAGTTTTACTGTAGAGCTAAACATCCTCAACTTTTCCTTTTTTTCTACTCCATAGTTTATATTTGCTCATTTAATATAGCCCTTTTGAGGTTTTCTAATGCTCCTTGCTATAGAAGAATTGGGAGAAGTTAAAGGACAGAAACTAAGTTCAGGGAAACTATAAGGTTACACACACACACACACACACACACACGCTGCCTCTTATGTTCATTAGAAAATAAATGGAGATAATCAATGATCTCTTTGGCTCCTCCTTGTAAAGTTGCATCATCTGTATCTTCTTCCTTAACCTAGTAGACTGTAAAGCAATTAATAAAGCATTTAGAAAAGAAAATACCTACAGGTTTTTAGGTTTTATTTTATTTACAATTTTATGTACCATGTTTTCTTTGAAATTGATTTCTGTTTTCATTGTTTTTAGGTTTACTTTTGCAAATTATTGTTAAAGTATTTTATGAAGATACAGGAAGGGAATTGCCTGAAAAGGTACAGAAACAATCTTACTCATGCAACCGAGCTTGCCATCTAGTGGACACTACTTTGGAATGCAGTAAGGTACATCAGCTTCAGTTATATAAAGCTGTACATTTCAAGTCTCTAAATAGAAATAGCATGGCATAATGTCATCAAGGTAGGAAACATTAAGAAAGTCTACAGAAAATGATTACAACATGACAATGTGAATTAGATAAGAGATTAAAGAACAAAAAGACCTCTGACTTCAGATTATGGCTTCTTATTAATCATGCTACCTATTCCCTCAACCTCCAAACCCAACACAAATAATCAAAATATGAACTGAAACTAGACTTTATTCAGAATAACAACTATGAGCAATCAACATTTAATATCCTATTTTTAATGTCAATTATTGGGGGCTAAGTAGCAATAGGCAGCAAGAGCATAACTGAATTCTGAATAAAAAACATTCTGAAATGTACAAAACTACTTACCAGGGGCTTGGGAAGTGAAAGGTAGCCATACTTCTCTCCTACAAACAACATATAGAACTTAAAACAAATTTTCTATTATTCACATCTAATTTAAAAACATTATTAAATAAACAGGAATATCAGCTGATTCGTTTTAAAATGTTGGCTATTAATCACATATGATTGAGAAATAAAAGTGTAATTTGATGGTGAACACAGGGACTGTCAGCAGTGCATCTTTTTTAAAAAATATATTTTATTGATTTTTTTATAGAGAGAAAGAGAGAGGGATAGAGTGGAAGAGAGAGGATAGAGAGTTAGAAACATTGATAAGAGAGAAACATTGATCAGCTGCCTCCTGCACACCCCCTACTGGGGATGTGCCCTTGACTGGAATCGAACCTGGGACCCTTCAGTCTGCAGGCCACCACTCTATCCACTGAGCCAAACCGGTCAGGGCCTCACCATCTATTTTAATTCAAAGTATGAATCCTGTCCATAATACCTCTTTTTTAAAAAAATAAATAAATATTTTTATTGATTTTTTACAGAGAGGAAGAGAGAGGGATAGAGAGTTAAAAACATTGATGAGAGGTAGTGGGGATGTGCCCGCAACCTGGGAACTTTCAGTCTGCAGACCGATGCTCAATCCACTGAGCCAAACCGGTGTCGGCCATAATACCTCTTTAAAAATGATCTTAATAAGCATGAGAAGAGGGCATAATCATACTTATGGATAATTAGCTTAGGGGAGCAATCCTGTGTTATCTACCCTGTGACCCCCTGCAGTGCCCATGATCCTGAAATGTTCACACTTACTCTCCAAAAGGGAAAAAATAGCCAACTGTTTCAGTGTTTCTTATTTCTCTAAGGTACAAAAGAGTTAAAGAAACCAGAAGGTAGGGATAAATAAACCCATAAGAGAGCCTTTACATAGTCGGGTCTGCTACGTTCCCACTCACAGTCCCTAGTACCAGCAGTTCCACTCCCTGAGGCCCTCCTTCAGCTACTGTGCTTGGCTCTGCTCCACATTCCTGCCCTCAGTGAGACCCAGAAGACTTGACGATCACTGCAAAACTGATCATTCTTGCCAAGTAAGTTGATAAAATAAAATAAAAAAGATGAATCTGAATCATTTTATAATTTTTTTCACACAAGTCTAATTATTGCCATTAATTTGAAGCAGAGCAAGAATATATTGACTCAATTATGCTTAGTTATTATATCAAATTAAGGAGGCTGTCTCTGATGAAAACATGTTCTAACCATTAGGAATAATTGGAAAAACAAATATTTAGGGAGCACATACTTGGTACAGATATTTGTTTTACAGAATTATTTTCAAACCACTAAATCCTTTGTTTAATACCGCCTAAATCAAAACCATAATTGTGCCATCTTTATTTCTGAGTTTATACTTCAAGATCGATTAAGCTCACCATTAAGTCCCAAAGGCCCTCTCATCTTATGAGGGTACCAAAATGATTTCTTTTGAAAACCTAAATGAGAAGTGCTGTTCCCGTTTTTAATATTCAGAGCTTTTCTGCATCTCTACAAAATAAAACAAATTCCCCAGGGACATATAAGCCTCATCATTTCATTTCACTGAAGATGTGCTACATTACTCCCTACGAGAAGGCCAGTTAGCTTTTCTGGGTTCAAGAGGGGCTCTCTACGACATGCTTGATCAGAAAAGAAACCATGTCCCAGAACCATTTAAAACGAATCCCTAACCACTGGACAGTCAGATGATTGGCTAACCTCAGGAGTGGGATTGACAGATTGAAATCCAAACCCAATCGTCAACTTCAAATCCTTCTTTACTTTCACATTCAATCACCAAATCCTATCAATATTATTTGTAAAACTCTCCTGTTATCAGTCCTCTTATTTCCATGTCTATTACCCTCGAACCATCAACTCTTGTCTGGATGGATCACTTCCATGTTCCAGACTCATGTGTTCCCCAAATAAGCTTGTATTTATCCACAAGCATGTTCCTCTTCCTGCACTCCCCATGTCACTGACCAGCACCCTATGCATCCAACCTGCCAGGTGATGAATTACACGCAGGGCTATGAGACAGGGCTACCACACATCCTTAAAAACTGAGCTTAGTCATGTGAACTCTAACATGCGTCCAACAGAACCAAGGAAATGCAGCTTCCTTAAAGGGGGGATAGAGTCTGCAAGCCAGGAGAAGGCTTCTTCCTGACATTTGTCTAAAATAATCTCAAGTTCTATGCCGGGACCGGTTTGGCTCAATGGATAGAGCGTCGGCTTGGGGACTGAAGGGTCCCAGGTTCGATTCCAGTCAAGGGCATGTACCTTGGTTGCGGGCACATCCCCAGTAGGGAGTGTGCAAGAGGCAGCTGATCGATGACTCTCTCTCATCGATGTTTCTAACTCTCTATCTCTCTCCCATCCTCTCTCTACAAAATCAATAAAATATATTTAATAAAAAAAAATAATAAATAAATAAAATAAAATAATCTCAAGTTCTCAATGCTGCTACCTACTCATCACTAAGGGAAAGTCAAGTCTTTATCTGGTCCCTTCTAATATGAAGGCTACGGAAGTTTGGTGAAAAGACAAAAAGATCAGCTCTAACTGGTTTGGCTCATAGAGCATCGGCCTGTGGACTCAAGGGTCCCAGGTTCGATTCCGGTCAAGGGCATGTACCTTGGTTGCAGGCCCATCCCCAGTGGGGGGGAGGAAGGGTGCAGGAGGCAGCTGGTCGATGTTTCTCTCTCAACGATGTTTCTAACTCTCTATCCCTCTCCTTTCCTCTCTGTAAAAAATCAATTATATAAATATAAATATATATATATATTTTTTTTAAGACAAAACACCAGAAGACAAATATTTATTTTTTAATTCTTTTTAAAAAATACCTTTTTATATTATTTCAGAGAGGAAAATAGAAACAATGATGAGAGAGAATCATTGATCGGCTGCCTCCTGCATGCCCCACACTAGATATCGAGCCCACAACCTGGGCATGTGTCCTGACCAGGAATCAAATTATGACCTCCTGGTTCATAGATCAACACTCAACCACTGAGCCACACTGGTCGGGCTGATTTTTTCTTTTTCTTTTCTTTTTTTTAAATATATTTTATTGATTTTTGTACAGAGAGGAAGGGAGAGAGATAGAGAGTTAGAAACATCGATGAGAGAGAGTCATCGATCAGTTGCCTCTTGCACACCCCCTACCGGGGATATGCCCGCAACCAAGGTACATGCCCTTGACCGGAATCGAACCCGGGTCCCTTCAGTCCCCAAGCCGATGCTCTATCCATTGAGCTAAACCGGTCCCGGCTGATTTTTGAGTTCTTAAAACAATCCCAGGAGGCCCGACTGTGAAATGTGAGTGTCTTGAGTAAAGAGAACAATGACTGAACTCTCAGAATGACTCAAGTATGAGAACACTTTCTCATCGCTTAGCATGTTGTTTGCCACTTAATTGGTTGGTTCCATGATAGTTGCAAATATATCTGATAATTTTCCCAATTGTGAGAGTCAACATGTGCAGGGCAGAGCTCTGGTGGCTATGACAGTTGTAACATGAGTTATTACAGCGGCAGAGAGAAGTGGGATCGGAAGAATACCCTCAGCGCTGGGTGGCAAGCAGTGGGCAGGTGCAAGGTGAACAGGCAGGTCTGTCGTAACCACAGAGCAGGCAGAGCAGCCCCATGACAGGGACTCAGCCCAATCAATAACGGTGAACTCAGAGGTGGATTTCGTGGGAAAAAGCTTTTCTTAAGAGCTTCATAATAAAAAGCAAGGATTAAGAAAGGCACTGTAAGAAATTAACTCTATCTCAGTGAACCCCACATAAAGATGTCGTCTGATATCTTTACCAGTTAAACAGTGGGTGTTCCATGGATAGAATGCAGCAGAGTTTTTTCCTCCTAAAAAGGAATTTCTGTTTCGCCCTAAGGAGGTTAAAGTAATCCTGAAATTTTTTTTCAAAAATATGTTTTTATTGATATTAGACAGAGAGCAAGGGAAAGAGATAGAGAGAGAGAAACATTGATGAGAGAGAGAGAGAAATATCAACCACTGCCTCCTACATACCCCCTACTAGGGATCGGGCCCACAACCCGGGCATGTGCCCTAACCCGAATTGAAGCAGCCACCTCTCTGGTGCATGGGACGATGTTCAACTAACTGAGCTACATCAGCCAGGGCAATCCTGAATTTTTTAGGATAGGTTACCCAAACCTAAAGAAGACCTAAAGAAGAGGTCTATTACATAATATCCAGCTTGAAAGTCAAAGAAACCACAGTAACCATGTAGTCTAAAATAAGTCTGTGACTTTTCCTGTGTCAAGTCTGGCCTATCCGCTGTGGGTGCGAGTGCTAAGAAAGGCTGGGAGCCACTTCTCTTCCTTTCCTAGCCAAGTCCGAGGGCTAAGAGATCATTCTCCTGTAAATGCGGCTCAGTTACCTCACTTTACCTTTTAATGCATGAAGCTTGCCTCACATAAAAACCCATGTAACCACCATAATTACTTTACCCAAGCATCAAAATGATATGCCATTCAGACTAGCTCTCACAGAAATCTTTAGATGTACAAGCATGGTAAACTTTTATTATATTTTATAAATTATGATATATCTATTCTGATTTTTTAAAGCATATCAGCAATTATTCTAAGTAAATATTTTCAAAAATATGTTTGAATGTCCTTAATCAGTAAAAAATATCTAATTTGATATTATTGTGACTTTAAATGCATTTTATTTTAAAAACTAAGCATGCTTGATACTAACAGAAGCCATTTGAAGGGAAAAATATATAAAAATGCAAACAAATAACAGGACACACAGCACAACGGGAAATAAACAAAAATCCCAGTTGATGTTAAAATAGAAAGTAAAAATGATGCCCTCCTGCACATTGTACGGTGTGATTCTACATGTTGTAGAAATAATGAACTTACCCACCATAGGAAATATTCCCAGGTCAGGTGGTCATCAAGGAAAACGATTCCATCCAAGTGGAAGGAAAGCAATTCAAAAATCAAACAACTACATTCATTTCATTATGAAATTAGTAGAAATAAATCAGATAATCACTGAGCTGCAGAAGATATTTGTACTAAAACTAAAAAACAGTTTAGAAGAAACATAAAATGGCTTAATGTCAAGAGGAAAACTAAATGCTAATATTAACTCAAAGAAATCTACTACGCTGTTGTACAACAAACTTTACTGCTTCGATGCTAAATAAAGGACAAATATTATTTTCATGATTTTTTTGTGGAAGATATCTTACTATAAAAGTAACTCAGGATATGACAAGATAATTCATTTTGCATCTGAAGTGTGAAATTGAAAAACTAATAGCGTTACAATAAAATAAATATATTTCAATATGTGGACAGTCTCTCACCTCGTTTCCCTTCAAACACATCATTGATTTCTCTTAGCAACGTTGACATGTCACTAATTTGGGATTCCCATGCTTCACAAAATACATCTAGGTTTTCTTTAGCAATTTTACTAGTTGGATGCAATGTCAATGTTTCAGCAGCAGAAATTATCTGAAGAAATACAATATAAACAAGTGTGATTTTCAAAATCTTAGCACTTAGAATCAATGCAAGACCAAACTTAAGTGTGTACTGTCCAAATCAACTCAATATACAACTATGAAGTAATTTCCACTGATAAGCCTGTTGGCCAATGTGGAGATACATGGTAGGACAAAACTTACTGTTTCTTATAACCCTATCTACAGACAAACAGTACGTGTTATTCCGTACAAACCTTGATTTCGGGACCAATTATACTTGTGTGTGTGTGTGTGTGTGGGGGTGTTTTGTTTTTTATTTCGAGAGTACATTTATTAAAGCTGGGACAGTGAAACCAGGAAGGGTCTGGGATAGAAGAAGCTACAGGAGAGAGAATGGGATGGGCTGCTTTGGCTCTCTAGAAAGGTTGTGGGAAAGAAGTGAAAAGAAACCATAATTGGCTTCTCTTGAATGAGCCAATCTCAATCCACAATGGACTGTTGTCAGCTCACTGTGGAGTCAAAGAAAAGGAGAATTTGGGGGCAAATTTAGAGGGGGTATCCTGGGACGAGCTGCCACTGCCCATTGCTCCCCTGGTTGCCAGTCTGGTGGGGACCTTCAGAGGAGTAGTAGTAGTAGTAGTAGTAGTAGTAGTAATAGTAGTAGTAGCATTGGTGGTGCTGGCAATAGCAGTAGTGGAACAGTAGTGTCGGTATCAATAGTAGTGCGAGTAGTAGTGTAGCTAGATAGCAGTGGTGGTGGTGGCGGTATTGATATTATACGTGGTAGAGGTAGTAGTAGTAACATATGCACACAAGTATGAGTACATTGTAGATATATTCTTGAGATACCACATTAGGTGTTTGACATACATTGATATTAATCCTCAAACACACACAAACAGCCCTCGCTGGTATGGCTCAGTTGGTTGAGTGTCCTCCCACACACTGAGAGGTTGCTAGTTCAATTCTGGTCAAGGGCACATGCCTGGGTTGAGGATGGATCCCCAGACGGTGGCGTGCAGGAGGCAGCCAAACGATGATTCTCTTTCCTCATTGATGTTCTCTCTCTCTCCTTCTCCCTTCCTCTCTGAAATCAATAAAAAATTTTAAAAATGAAATTTTTTAAAAAAAAGGAAGGTCACCAATGGCCATGTAATGGTGAAGCCTCCACAGTAAGGACTGGACTGTATGAGCAAGGAGGAAAGTCACTGGAGAGCTCTCAGAGACTGGCACCTTAGAGTTATGCTACGTTCAAGGAAACTAGAACTAGATGCTTCGCCTGGGGGGCACGGCTGCATGGGCACAGGGCTGACAAGCTGGTGGCAGCCTTATGAGCAGAACACGGTCGCCATCTGCAGGGAAGGCGGAACCCTGGGCTGGCCAGGGTTTTATCCTGCCCTCCTCACCGGAGCCACGGAACAGCGTGTAACCTGCTCACTGTGCCTAGCACTTTAAAGGAAATATGAAAATGGCATTGCTAAAGCAGAGAGCTCCAGAAATAAATATAAAGAATCCAAGAGGCATGCTCTATTTCCTAAATAGACAGATTTCCTAAAAATCCCTTTGAGAGGCAGATGGCAAAGACTAGGTAAAAGCCAAGGTGATGGGCACAGAAAAAACTTCTCAAGTTTAAAAGTTGACAACAGGCCCTATCATCACCGTGGGGAAGAAAATCCGGCTTTTCCTAATCATGGCTGCAGTAGAAACAGTAAACAGAACTGCGACCAGCTGGTTGCACACAGGCAGGAGGGTCACATGCTCTTCTTCTTCTTCTTCTTCTTCTTCTTCTTCTTCTTCTTCACATGCTCTTCTCTTCTTCTTCTTCTTCTTCTTCTTCTTCTTCTTCTTCTTCTTCTTTTTTTTTTTTTTGGTCAATCCTTACCCAAGGATATTTTCCCCACTGATTTTAATATATATATATATATATATATATATATATATATATATATATATATATATATAAAAAATTGATTTTTTACATAGAGGAAAAGAGAGGGATAGAGAGTTAGAAACATCAATGAGAGAGAATCATCGATCAGCTGCCTCTTGCACACCCCCTACTGGGGATGTGCCGCAACCAAGGTACATGCCTCTGACCGGAATTGAACCCGGGACCTTTCAGTCCGCAGGCCGACGCTCTATCCATTGAGCCAAACCGGTTTCGGCCCCATTGATTTTTTTTTTATAGAGAATGAGAGGGAAGGAGAGACTGGAATTGAACCTGGGACCCTTCAGTCTGCAGGCCGATGCTCTATCCACTGAGCCAAACCAGGGAGGGCGGTTTGCTTGTTTTTTGTTGTAGTTGTTTATCTCCTCTGTCCTTAAGAATAACGGGGTCAAAGTGTGAATATTTTTATGGCTTGTTCCGTAGCGATAGCTTACTTTTCAAACACGTTACAACAACCCACAATGTCAACAGCTTCATTAAAGGAGATATAAACTAGGCTTCCCTTGAATGAGCCAATCTCCAGGTTGGCAGATGACCAGATAACCCAGAGGAATGCCAGCTATGTTCCGGCGCTGTACCTAGGAAAATTCCAGAGTCTGCATTTCTCTCGGTAGATGTGGCCTATAGTTAAGCAGAACCACTTTCTCCTCCTTGCACACGATCTGTTATGACACTCAGACAAAACTCACTACAGAAGGAGCAATCTGCTGCTGGGCGTACCTGCTGGCCAGTCACCTGAAATGTCTCTTCTGCATGGACGCAGGTTATTTCGAGAGGCTCTGTCCCAGATACATGGCGCAACAACCGGCAGGTCTGCAAGAGAGCATTTCTGCATTCAACTTCCACGTTCGCGTTCTTCACAAGGCAGACTCATTTTATAATTTATAATGACAATAAAACACAAAAACCCACACATACAAGTCTTTACATCAAGAAGTTATCATACTACATTGGTTACTAACAGAGTCTCGAGGAACAAGTAAGGGTATAGAGAATTGTTTTTGTGTCCTATCTGATCATGGCAAGGTGTTCACAGACTTCTCGGACAGGGAGCAACCTTGGAAAGGATCTTGCAGCGCCCACGCATTTTATGTGTGAAGACACCCAGCTCAGAGAAGTGACTTGCCCAAGGTCTCTAGGCTAAACTACATCAATTACTAAAAGCTAAGTATTCTTCCTATCAACAAAAACCACTTTCCTTCATGGGAAATTAACTAACGTACTTTTCATTGGAGATAACACTGGATTAGGCAAGACCGATGTAATGAGTGGAGAGCCCACCATTAATATCAGCAAAAATTATTGAAAACCTTGAGGCTTGAAACAGAAATTTAGAAAAAAGTATATTTTCATCTTTTAAAAAGATTTGCTGCAGGAACCTTATAATTACCAAGTTTGCTTACAGTCATAATATTCGGCTTACAGACAAAACAGCATCAAAACTATTTTAAAAGGAGGTGACTCTACACTCATTTTAAGAATGCTCCTGCCCTGGCCATTTGCTCAGTGGTTAGAGCACCAGCCCTCGGACCAGAGAGTCTCAGATCCTATTTCCAGTCAAGGGCATGTACCTGGGTTGCAGGTTTGATCCCTAGCTCAGGTCAGGGTGCATGCAGGAGGCAACCAATCAGTGTCACTCTCTCATTGATGTTTCTCCCTCCTTCCCTCCCTTCTACTCTCTCTAAAAAATCAAGGGGAAAAATATCCTCGGGTAAGAATTGACAAAAAAAAAAAAAAAAAAAAAAAAAAAAATTGCTCCTTAGCAGTTTTAAAATATAATCAAATGAAGGAGAGGAAGCTAGTCCAGTTGATCTAAAGGTTTCTTCAGCCCTTAGTCTTTGAGATATGATGAGCAGGGTATATTAGAAAATCTAAAGCCAGCTAGATGGCTCATATTTGTGCATTTATGTGCATGTGGGATAAGTCCTACCTTTTATATACAAGATATACTTGGGTTGAGTATGTATTTTTTTACTAGCAGATCAGATGTCAGACATTCTTAATAGGTGGAAGGCTTAGAATATTAATTAATAATTGGAATGATAACAAAGGTGGCAGGTAAGCACCAGTAACACGTAACAGAGATTTGGGAAGAACAGGAGAGGTTCAGAGAAGGCATTTTGTACTGGATGGCTTCTCCTTGTCCCTCCATATTTACCCTCCTTCTCTCTCAAATCTGCTTTTGTCCTGGGACACTGACCTGCGTGGTCTGCAGCTATGTTTGGCCGGTGGGAACCCCCGGCAATAGACCAGCAGGCATGAGGAGAGTAAGGGCCTTTAGTCCCATGTCCTTTCCCTGCAGGGTCACCTTGGACTGTCTCTATGTCTAGTCCTAGAACCACCTCTCAAGGTGTCTCTCTGGAAGACTCCAGGCCCTTCCAGTCTCTAATAACCACTCCCCCCCCACCCCCCATCAGGGTGGGCATGAGGGTGACACCAGCTCTGCTCTCACCCCAGTTACTGCACTTCCATGGTCCCCACCCCCCACCCACCATGTATGTCACTGTAAACAGCTCCTTTATTAAACCATCTTTGGAGGATCCGAACTTGAGTGTGCCATTCTTTTCCTGCTGAGACCCACGGGTTCAAATAGAAACAAGGTCAGACAGTGCCTCTGCCTCCATAGCGCTACTCAGAGACTGAGATCCCGGGAGAATAAGGAAAAGATTACTAAGAAGTGCTTTTGTGGGTTCAGGCAATTTGGGTTGTTTTGTTTTAGAAGCCAGACCGCTGAAAGATTGGCACAGATAAACATAATACCTTTAGAATTCCAAACGAGAGAGAAAATGCTCACAAAAGTTGCCCCAAAGCTGCATTGCGTTAACATTCCCTGGTGATCTATAGTGACGGTTAAGCCGCCATTTCTGGAACGAGTAAACCGATCACTCACCTCGACAAGCTGCTCTTTCTGTTCTGAGAATTTACAGGCATACTCAGCCAACCCTTCTAAATTGCCTTCCACTCCCGTAAGTTTTAACGCTTTCAGAACCACGTGGTCGGCATGGTATTTTAACAGATCCGCTGCCAGCTGCGTTGCTGTGCTGTGAAGCTGCAGAGGTGGGGGGTGAAGGGGAATGAGACAAACAACAAACCATAAGACTCCATGGCCAAGCGCCTCAGAATCACTTTCAAAACCAAAGACCTCAACTCAGTCCTAGTGGGACCTCTCAGGGGAGTGGTCAGTTCCCCGTGGTGACGGTAGCAGTTGTGTAGACCTGGGCGGGTGATAGAACATCTGGGAGGCCCCTGTGTGGGAATTATGCTGTTTGCAGAAAAATGAACTCGATCCCTTGTTCATTCTATTATCAATCAGCTCTTTCCCACATAGCTCCTCTCTCACCTTAAACAAAAATGCTTCTGCTACTCTTTAAGTTAGTGGGGAATAGAGCAGTATTACCACATGGTATCCAAAGTATTACAAAAAAAAAAAAAATCAATGGTAGTTTGTGATCACAAGTGAGTGTATTTAAAAAAAATATTTTTATTGCCCTAACCGGTTTGGCTCAGTGGATAGAGCATCGGCCTGCGGACTGTAAGGTCCCAGGTTCGCTTCTGGTCAAGGGCATGCATCTTGGTTGCGGACACATCCCAAGAGGGGGATATGCAGGATGCAGCTGATTGATGTTTCTAACTCTCTATCCCTCTCCCTTCCTCTCTGTAAAAAAATCAATTAAAAAAAAATATATATATATATGTATATAGACTTTAGGGAGGAAGGAGGGGGTGAAAGAGAGAGAGAGAGAGAGAGAGAGAGAGAGAGAGAGAGAGAGAGAGAGAGAGAGAGAGAGAGAAATATCAATGATGAGAGGATCACTTATTGGCTGCCTCCTGCATGCCCCCAGGCATGTGCCCTGACAGGAATGGAACTGTGACCTCCTGGTTCATAAGTTGCACTCATCCATTGAGCCAGTTTTTTATCAGACTTTTGAAAAAGGATCAATGTGGGATTTAGTCAATAAGGTAGTCACCACAATGTGATTGAACACCTGCATCACGGCAGGCACTGGGTTAGAGCCTGGGCCCACATGACAAATAGGACACCACCCTCCCCTCAGTGGGGCTACAGTCTATCTATAGTTGTTACCCAGAACTTTATTCTTAACATCTGGGTCGCAGGAGATGTGATGCCTAAAAGGGTAACAAAACCTCCAAGGTTATTTTTGACTTTGGAGTGCATTGTAAGCATGGCCCTCTCACATGGATCTCTTTGGGTACTATTAACTACAAAGTCTTCTTATACTGACCTTAAAAAAAGAAATGTGATAGTAGGCCCTAGCTGGATAGAGCATCGGCCTATGGACTGCAGGGTCCCGGGTTCAGTCAAGGGCACATTCCCAGGTTGTGGGCTTGATCCCAGGTAGAGGGCATGCATGCAGGAAGCAGCCAATCAACGACTACCTCTCATCATTGATGTTTCTATCTCTCTCTCCCTCTCCCTTCCTCTCTGAAATCAATAAAATTATAAACATAAAAATAATGTGACAGGTTATTTTGGGGTTCTCCAGAAAGAGATCACTTTTCATAACACTGTCCCCAGGAAAAAAAAAATCTGACCTTGAATGGAGCCCATTTGAATGAAGTGATTTTTTCCCCCTGGAAGTAATCCAATGTCAACTCAAATTACAGGACTTGCTATTAAATTAACAATAGGCAGTCCACATTCACGCAATCAAGTGAGAATAATTAGTCTGAAACAAAGACATTAAAACGCCCCCCCTTTTTCGGAAACAAAATACCACATGAGAATTCTAAAAGACTTTGTTTAGCCACCAAGGCCCTTAGAGAATAGTTAATGCCAGCCCTTATTTTACAGACTATGAAAAGGTGGAGTCACTTGCCCAAGGCCACGCAAATTTTACAATTTATAACCAACCCTAAGGAGGAAGGGGGAATAAAATCAATTCGTAGACCATGCAATGTACTGACAACAGCTTTTTAACATTATTGCCTGTAATTCTTACAAGATCCCAGGTTGTTGTTGTTATACCCATTTCAGAGGTAAGAAAAATGAAGCTTGAGGAAAGCCACTCTGCCTCGGGGATTTTGTGCTCTTCAGATAGTCATCTTTCTAACAATAATTGAATGGGGGGGTGGGGGGGGATGGTGGTGGTTAGGGTTTGTTTAAACCATAGAAAATGGTATCCTTGGATGTGAAAATGAAGATTTCAATAGAGGTCGGTACCAAGATGTGAAACCTGTCACCATGTATATACTTTTTATTGCTCAACAATATTTAGTGTAGTCACACCAAAATCCGTTTAATCAATTCCCAATGATGAAATTTTAGGTTCCAGTTTGGGGCCATTATAAGCAGAGCTACTGTGAGCATTCGTGTACAAGCTTTAAGTCGATGGCACCAATAAAATGGTGGCTTCAAAATAACGAAGTCAAAGAAAAACTTTAAGAAATTATTTTCTGTGCACAGCGACATACTAATGCATTTTCTACATACCATACACAACATGAAAATTTGCAAAGAGTGAAAAGAGGGCTAGATTTCAAACTATACTTACTTCTTTCTTAAGTTCATTGAGGCCATGACTGATTTTCAATATACTGAGTTCCAGCTCTTCAGCGATGCTTTTTGTTCTCTTGCTTTGCTAACAAATTTAAAAAGTATATACGTAGGGTTACCTCATCTTTTTCATCTGATGACTCCAATTTTACTTGAACTATAAATTATAATATCAATAAATTTTTAATATCATTCTGTGCATTATAAGAAAAGTTGATTTTAAAAATTCACCTGCTTATGGTTAGAATAGAAAATAGAATTTTAAGTATTTAGTTATATTTTCCCACTCTAACTATACATGGGTTAATTTCTAAACTCTAACTTTCTTGAATAAATTCATCATGTCTAAGACTCAGCTATTTTATCTGTGACTAGGATGCCCATCATCATTCTTGACCTAGTTAAAAATTAAAACATGAATCCTTTTCAAGTCCTTACACCTTCTCATATCACACTACCTAATGAGACCCCCTTCTTACCCATGCTAACTCTCAGTCTAAGTCGTCATCCCAGTATGCCATTCTTTTTTATTCATTTGTTTAATGTCTGTCTTCCCCACAAGGCATTGGTAAGCTCCATGAAGGCTGCAATCATATTTAATTTGCTCACCAATGAATCCACAATCCCTGGCACAGCAAAAGGAAGCAAGGAAGTGTTCAGGTCTTTGAATGAATAAATCCAAGTTAAATGTCAATATCCTCAACAAGCCATCTTCATTTTTCTCCCTGAATAAAAATCCATCCCCCCCACCACGCCCCCACCGAAACCAGTTTGGCTCAGTGGATAGGCCTGCAGACTGAGGGGTCCCGGATTTGATTCCAGTCAAGGGCATGTACCTTGGTTGTGGGCACATCCCCAGTGGGGGTGTGCAGGAGGCAGCTTATCGATGGTTCTTTCTCATTGATGTTTCTAACTCTCTATCCCTCTCTTTTCCTCTCTGTAAAAAAATCAATAAAATATATATTTTTAAAAATCCATCCCCCTTCAATCCTCTCAACTCACACATGGTCTGTCTGCCTCTTTGGATGCTTACATCTCTCTACTTGCCTCACCCCACCCCACATTCTTCTCCATTGCAAAACTCTTGCAGGCAAATATTTTATCTTCTTCATCTTTAGATGGCATATAAAAAGCACATGGTAACAACTGAAGTAGATGAATGCGTGAACAATACATCTGGAATGCAGAACTGGAGATGCCAGTGCTTGTAAAATATCTGAACAGTGCTACTTGCAAATCTAAGTACTAATAGAATAAGATTCCCAACGCAGACAGCATTTCCTCACAGAAACGTTTTTCCCTGAATGTTGGGCTTACACATTTAACACAAAGCAATCTATACTTCAGATTAGATAGCCCACAGATCATTCAAACTAGACAGAAAATGCTGCTTTCATTCCTGACACTACTCTACCCTAGGTCAAGTTTTCCTGCTAATGTGAGCATTTGCCATGCTGTGATGCCAAGAAAATAGGAGAGAAATCTTCATTCATAAATGAATGTATTAAAGGGAGTAAGCTCTGCTCTGTTCAGGACAATCCCAGCCACGTTCACCCTGCCTCTTCATCTTTACTGCCAAAGCTTTCCTTTAAGATGCCCAGATTTGTTCTCTCCATGCTGTATGTTCCGATTTGTTCTCTCCAAGCTATATGTTGAAAACCACATTGAATACTGTTTTGATGCAGCCAAGGTCTAAGAATAAAGGTCCGGTGTCATCTCAGGCTTCTGTCTCTCAATGTTGTAACCCACCCTCTGAAAGGTACCTGCTCCCTGTGCTGTTCCACCTCTGCCAGCCTTTACCTCTCCTGCCCTGAGAGCTGCCTATGTTTTAAGTAGACCACTAGCCTATGAAGGCTCTTTCAGAGTCTGCCCACAGACTGGGAATCTGTGTGAGGGTGAGCAATCTACCACCGGCCAGCTGAATCTACCCTGTCTTCACTGTATGTGGACCTCAATAAGCTTCCTACATCATTGTGTCTGCAAACCAGCTGTCCTCAGAGGGAAGCGCTGTGCACTTCTGAGTGCCTCAGGTAAGACTCAAGTCCCAAGACCCTCAAGGTGGGGACTCCTCTGCTCCTCACTCTGAAGAAGCATTTTGGGGAGGAATATTCCAGAGGTGAGCTTGGTGGAAGAGCAGAGACAACAGGTGAACTGTGACAGTGACTGTGGCACAGAGTCCAGACTGGCCAGGATGGAAAACAGGCTGGGGGTGTCAGGCGCTCTGAGTGCTGCGCTGATGGTAAGGGAGCTTTGACCAAGCAGGAGGGAGACGACGGAGGAGAGACGCCCTTGCCTCCCTCTGGGCCACATCCACATCCCTGGTGATGTGCTTAGCGCCCCCATCTCTCACAGCTTTAGGGGAGAGCTACCAGACAAGAGTTACTTCTATGGAAGCGGGTCTTACAGCGTGCATCCACACGGAGGCGAGCTGCTGGAGCTCCGCCCGCGCGTGGGCCGACAGGTCCAGGATGCGCTCCCGGTGCTCGTGGCTGGTGTAGGCGGAATCGGTGAAGTCCTCCGTGCGCTCCAGGATGGCTTCCAACGTCGCGGAGAGATTCTCCTTCGACTGAAAATAAAGGTTCTCCCGGAGAGCTTCTATATTCATCTGAGAACAAAAACAACGTACACCCACGAGTCAGTGTTCCCACCTAACCAAAAGGGGCCGTGGCTTCTAGCAGTGCCCAGGGAGGCACAGCAATGTCCTGCCTTATCTGGGGGCTCAGTGGGGAGCAACCTCCAGTGATGACTGCATTCTCCACTAACCCGGGAGGACACAGAGCCCACCAAAAAGGCCATGCCGAGCCTCGCTCCCATAGCTGTTAACACACATTCCTGTGAGGTCAGTGAAGACGAAGGAGGGAAGAGCATTAGCATGTAGCAAAGACAGGAAGAGCATTAGCATGTAGCAAAGGCAGGAAGAGCATTAGCATGTAGCAAAGGCAGGAAGAGCATTAGCATGTAGCAAAGGCAGGAAGAGCATTAGCATGTAGCAACCGGTAGAAAATGTGAACCCGCCTCCACGTCAAGGATCTGCTTCTGAGAAAACGCTGAGGCAAAGTCCTAGAAAATGCTACACCCAAAAAAGAAAAATGTCCTGAGCCCAGGGGAAGGGTGTGGAGGGTGGAGGGTATGGGAAGGACTGGGAAAGGATTCAATTTTTCCTTAATTAACTCAGCAAAACGCGACCATTTTGTCTTATGTCCTTCAACAGCACCTCCCTGCCCAGTACCCTCGGCCAGGGGGCCCTGAGTCATCTTTCCGAAAGGGTGAAGCTTCTGATACTGCCCCCCTCTCTACCTGGCTCCTCACCACCTATGAAATCCAGTCCAACCCTCTATGGTAAAACACAAAATCCCCAGGGCCCTGCCTCTATATACCTCTCTAACAGTCTCTCTCACTCCACGCTCACTTCACCACCTGGTGCTTCGAGTCCCTTTGCTGTGTGACAGTGTCCCTGGACAGCCTTCCTCCCTGTCGATTTTCTAAGATACGCTACGCCACCTCTAGTTCATGAAACATAGCACAGCAATAACTGTGATAATAGGCCCTGGCCAGGCAGCTCAGTTAGTTCGAGTGCCATCCCGATAAGCCAAAGTTGTGAGTTTGACACCTGGTCAGTGCACATATAAGAAGTAATCAAGGAATGTATAAATAAATCAGTGGAACAACAAATCAATGTTTCTCCCTCCCCCCTTTCTCTCCCTCCCTTCCTCTATCTCCTTCTCTCTCTCAAATCAATTTAAAAAAAAATTTTAAAATACATTTTATTGATTTTGTACAGAGAGGAAGGGAGAAAGATACAGAGCTAGAAATATCGATGAAAGAGAGTCATCGATCAGCTGCCTCCTGCACACCCCCTACTGGGGACGTGCCCGCAACCAAGGTACATGCCCTTCACCGGAATCGAACCCGGGACCCTTCAGTCCCCAAGCCGACGCTCTATCCATTGAGCCAAACCGGTTCCGGCTCAAATCAATTTTTTAAATATTACATAAGAAATACGGTTATAATAATATTCACCTAAAAAGAGTGTTAGAGATTAAATAATATTTATTAAGAGCACAGCTCCTAAAAATAAAGGACCTTTCATCCCATGTTCCTATTTAGACTTTCACACAATTAAAACTCAAAGCGGAGGATCCAGGATGGCAGTGGAGAAGGTGGGAGTTACACTCACCTCCTCCAGGAACCAAAGCAGAAACACAACTAAACCATAGAACAATCAAGCTGAAAAGTGCAAGTGCAGTAAGATGAAAACCAGGCATCCCCGTCCTGTCACAGCCCTGAGAATCAGAGAGGTGGCCACCCGTAGGCAAATCAGTTCATTTCTGAGGGCCCTACTTTTCCCAGCTGCTGAATAAGGGGTTGTGCTAGCTGATTTCCTAGGGCCCCTGACTTAGACACGGCTCTGAGTCAAAGAGCAGCTTCACCATCTCTCTGACTTCTGAGGAGAAGTTCTGCCCTAAAATGATGGAATTCTGGAGTCAGACTTGCTAGTTTCAGATCCCGACTCTGGTGCTTCCTAGTTGGCAAGTATACTTAATCCGTTTCTCAGTTTCCCCAACAGTCTATGTCGGGGTGAGGAACCTTCTTCCTTCTTCCTGTGGGTATTTATAACTTCATTTCGTGGGCCATTCAAAATTATCACCTTAACAATCAGCCAGCTATGTTTGGTCACATATTTAATGAACTCACTCCCAATGCCTTGGCCAGACCAAACGATTTCGTGGGCCTAATATGGCCCACGGGCCAGGCGTTCCCCACCCCTGGCCTATGGGAATAAGAACAATAGTTCTTGTGAGAATCAGACAAACACATACATTTAAAGAACTCAGAACAGGGCTGGCACATGGTAAATGCTCCACAAATGTTAGCATGTATTAAGGTTCATTTAAAATTTTAATTATCATAAATACTATTACTACCATGTTTCCCCGAAAATAAGACATCCTCCGAAAATAAGACATAGCGCATGGAAAGATAAGACATCCCCTGAAAATAAGACCTCACGCAATTCTGGGAGAAAAAAATTAATATAAGACACTGTCTTATTTTCGGGGAAACAGGGTACTACTACCATCTTAATTATAAGTCCTATATCCCAGGAAAGAGAGAAATCCCAGCAGAAATGATTTGCTGTCTGCCACCATCTGTGGATGGTGTAGCTCTGCTCCAAAGTCTTGGTTAGGGACAGACTTCTAAACAGATGACAGGAGGCTGCTGCAAACCATACAGCTAACCAGGGTCCGAGTAGCTGGGAAAACCCAAGACCAGTGTTCTTTGTACATTGCACACTAAGCCACATGTTACTGGTTATTACGTTTGTACCTCCTGGCATTTTCAAAAGAGAAATATCTGCCTTTGTGAAGCATATATTCTAGAATATTACACAAAAATAAATATATTCCATAGAAAGAATGGAATAAATATATTCCATGGAAAGAAAAAAAAATCAAAATATATTCTCTTCTTACCTTGAATTCTTTAATTCCGGTAAAAATACTGATGGCTGCAACGTCAGTCTCTCCGTTGGGCTTGCAGTCAGTCACAATTTCAATGACCTTATCCAGGGCCACTTTCATTCGGTCGAATACCCCTTCTTTGTTTTTATGGGCCGATTCACAGTTGGGATGCCTGAGACATGTCTTCAAAACAAGTGAAGCTTTTTATTTTAAGATCTGACCCAAATCCCAACACACAAAATCTTACAGAGAACATGTCATGCTAATAAAAATGGTTCTTTACCAAAATCTCCCGGGTCCCTGGCTCCCCCAGCTGCTTCTCCTCACTAAAAGCGGAAGCAGGATGAGTAAAAAGCGATAGCAAGGTTAAGTGAAAAAGGCAGAATGCAAGACTATATCTTTATACTTCAATAATCAGTTTACTTAAAATTTTTTGGGGAAAAACAAAACCCCTATCTATATCTTTATCATGATTAAAAAATATTTTTTAAATGTAGTCGTCTTATGTGTGTAAGGACTGAAAAACAATGAGGAAAAATGAACAGATGAGATGTGACTGTGGATATATGTTTGCCTTTTCAAAAAAAATGATATAAATGCACAACTACTCAAGGGCCAGACACTAACAGAGGCTGCCACCTAGGCTCCAGATAAACCTGTTTTTTGTAGCTTTACTGATCGCAGCAGAATAAATGTTTCTGAGCAGAAAAGGCAATTCTAAACACATTGCTAATGAGATGTTGACTAGTTCATTCTTGAATTGTACCAATTTGCTGGCCAGCTGCAGTTTGGAGTTACAAGCTCTTGATTGACAATTGTGTTTAAAGCAGGATAAGGAATTAGAGATATGAATTTCCAGAATAAACAAACTAAGGGCTGACTTGACACTCCAGTCACTTAACATATTCTAACTTGCCTAGCTTTCGCTTGAGATAGGTGTGCTGGCTGCCCAACGAGACTGGCAAAACCCTGCAGGCAGTGGCCACGTGGAACAGGCCTCCATTCCTAGCACCTAACTCAGCACCTTCTGCTTAGCTGCTCAAGCAAAGCTGACTCGGAGGTTAACTGCAGTTTGGAACCGGGGAAGAGAGTTAGCATTCTTGCCAAAGAATAACTGAAATTCAACTAGGAGAGCCTATATTCCAATGTGTCATTGTGATCTCCTTTAAAGTATACTATATGCAAATTAGATGTACTTAATGAGGTTCTCTAATTAATTTGCAATACAGTGAAACAAAAAGTGTCCTTACCTTTGAAGCTGTGAGAAGCATCATCGTACACTTTTCAAGAACTGCCCTCGCTGCTGCCATTTTTGCCTTTTTCTTTTCATCTTTCAGATCCTAAAAAGAGAGTGAAATCACTGAGCATGCCAGGGACATGGGACAATCCAGTTTCTTGAAAAATTATTTACTCAATAGTGACAATACTCAATGGTGAAGTGGCATGGTTAATAAAGTGACGTGAAAAAAACTAGAATGAAGTTTCATAACGTGTCCCCTCTTCCATCAGACGACATGTACAGAACAGAGGGGAATAAAACAGCTGCCCTTCGCCAGGACGCAGAGCCAGGGCTGAGCCCCAGGGAGGTGCTGCCACGTGATTACTCTCTGGTGGCTGGCCATGCCTGGCGCTCTCGTGGCCTCGTGGACACAGCTCACTCCTAACCAGAAACGATCACCCCGAGCTTTACTTAAATAAAACTGGCTTATTTACTGAGCACCCGTGAGCTATCGTTTCCTTCAAAATAGATACTTAGAAGGCAATTCTTTCCAGGGACCATGTCTGATGAATCCCATATCGAAGTACTATTATAATTCATCTCGATATGAGGTTGGTTTGTCCTACACTTAACCAACCTGCTGCTCTGAAATGTTTGTTCTTAGGCTGTTTGGCAGATATATAATCTTCCCCAACTAGATTATGAACTCTGAGGCAAAAACTGTATTTTGAAATTTTTTTCTTTTGATTTCTCTGCACAGAGCCCTTGATGGAATGTATGCTTATCACAGAAGTATCGAATATTACTTATCCAATCTAGAACCAACTACTCCTCATAATGATTTGGTTATGACCATCTAATTCAGAGGTCAGCATATGTTTTCAATAAAAGGCCAGATAATAAGCTTTTAGGTTTCTTGAACCATATGGTGGTCTCTATCACAACTACTTAGTCCTATCACTGTAGTGTGAATACTGTCCCAGATAATACCTAAACAAATTAGGTATTGCTCAGTGGTTAGAGTGTCAAGCTGCGCCAATAAATTGTTACTTGTGGACACTGACATTTAAATTACATAATATTTCCACCTGCCACATTAGTCGGTCTTTCTTCATTTCAAGTTGAGTGACAAGCCCTTTCTTATATACAAAAAACAAAGACTCAAAGTTTGAGAATCATTTGCATTTTATTTGTCTTAGTAAATTATTATAGTAGATTCAGAGTTATGCCTATAATATCACTCATTCACTTGCATCCCAATATACAATAGCTTTCTTTGGACCAAACGTTAATTTATGCCACACGATTACATCCCAAAGGACAGTGTCCTACCTGTGAATATCATCCATCATGTATATCAAAAGTAAAAGTTGAGGTCACTTCTAAAATTTCCCTTTTGTCTTTAACATATTGAACAGGACTTCCTGCAAAACAACCTGTGGACCTAGCTGACCATGCATCAAGCACGTGTGCCACACAAGACACTTGTAAAGCCACACACCGTATCATACTGTGGATGGTGATGGCAAGTGAGGGGCAAAGATGGCATCTCAATCTAAGAGGGCTAGTCCACAGGATGAAACAAAGGCCGACATAAATCCCAGATGGTCCAAGAAGCACCAAGGGAAGCACCACCACCTGGTTTGGCACTTCCCAGGCCAATACCTACCTCCCAACGCCAGCTACAGCCTGAAAGTTCACGCCCCAGACCACCGCCTGTGGGGCTACACCAAAGCACCCCAAGAAAAGGTTGATTACTATATATTCAACCTGTTTAAAAATAACCTCACAAGGAAAAGTCAGTCCTAAATAAAATAGGGTCTTCCATCTTCCTAAACTTCAGAGCGTCCAGTCTGAAATGGGGAACAGACCTATAAAGAACTTCTATTACGGTTTCGTTTGAAAACTATAGGTTTTAGACTCAGGCATAACTGAGCCCAATCTGCTAGAAGAGTGACCATGGGAAAGTTTATTATCTTCTCAGATTTAGTTTCCTCACATTCACGATAACAATACCTACTTCACAGGGATGTTTTGAGAATTAAATGAAATCATGGATATTAAGTACCTAACACATAGCCAATGCAAATAAATAATGAGCCCTGATTGAAAAGTGAAATGGAAAGTTTCACAAAAGAGGAAGTACTTGAATTGGGCCTTGGAGGCAAGACTGACCTTCCCCAGTGTGTGAGATGGAACAAATAACTGTTATTTGTGCACCAGAAAAGTGTGCATGTACTTGAAAACTTTAACATGTGGTAAATACATACATTTTGTCTATCTCCAGTCAGATGTGCAAACTCCACCATTTCATTTCCAAACTGACTGAATATCTGGACGAACTCTTGAAAGCTATTCACTTTCTCCAGTCTCTCCATAGTTGCAAGAACCTGCAAACCAAAGAATATTTTATTCTCAGCTGTAGGCATGCCAGAAACTAAGATGTCAGGACTGAGGAGAGAGAGGGAAAGAGAAATTTAAATTGAAGGGGACAGCAGGGCTCAGAGAAGCAGAGGCAAATCCAAAGGTGAGAATTATCGAGGGGACAAGTTGTTTTTAGGATGAGGAGACTTGAACTCACTTAAAAATCAAAAGGAAAAAGCATAAAGGAAAGGACTAATATGCAAGAGAATATCCAAGAGAATATCCAAGAGAAGAAATGGTGTATGTAGCGAATGCTGGAGAAGGTGAGGACCAGTAGGACTATCTTCCGAGGACCTGGAGTGGGTGAGACTAAGAGACTGTTCAAATTTTAAGGTCAGTCAACCAGGCGTGGGAACACCCTTTGTCTGAGAACAGGGGAAGGAAGGAATCTGCAGAGTGGGGAGTAGAGAGGGAGGCTTGGGGACTTCAGGAACAGGAAACAGGGTGGATCAGACAGGAACTGCCTGTGTTAAAAGAATTCATCGCCAAGAAGCTTTGGGCAGCCAGGGGTGAATAGAGAGCATGAACCTGTAGTAGAGGCAACAGAAAATGTCCTGCATATTCTTTAATTAAAAAAAATATATATATAAATATATATCGATATATATATATATATAAAAACAATAATATATATACATATATATGTGTATATATATATATGTGTGTGTATATATATATGTATATATATATTATTGTTTTTCACAGAAAGGAAGGGAGAGGGATAGAGAGTTAGAAACATCGATGAGAGAGAGTCATCAATCAGCTGCCTTCTGCACCCCCCCTACTGGGGACGTGCCCGCAACCAAGGTACATGCCCTTGACTGGAATCGAACCCGGGACCTTCAGTCCATAGACTGACGCTCTATCCACTGAGCCAAACCGGTTTTGGCTCATGCATATTCTTTTTTTTTTTTCCCCCAAGTTTTTGGGGTTTTTTTTTCTTCTTTTTTAAAAAAAATATATTTTATTGATATTTTACAGAGAGGAGGAAGGGAGAGAGATAGAGAGCTAGAAACGTCTATGAGAGAGAAACATCGACCAGCTGCCTCTTGCACACCCTCTATCGGGGATGTGCCCGCAACCAATGTACATGCCCTTGACCGGAATCGAACCTGGGACCTTTCAGTCTGCAGACCGACGCTCTACCACTGAGCCAAACCGGTTTCGGCTCATGCATATTCTTGACATTAGAAATAAAGTAAATAGCCTGGCTGTTTTGGCTCAGTGGTTAGAGTATCAGGCTGCAGACTAAAGGATAGTGGGCTAGATTCCAGGTCAGGGGCACGTGCCTCAGTTGCAGGCTTGGTCCCCGGCCCCAGTCCCTGATGGGGTGAATTCTGGAGGCAACTGGTTGATGTACTAGTACATGTGTGTGTGTCTGTGTGTGTGTCTGTGTGTGTGTGTGTGTGTGTGTGTGTGTGTATGTGTGTCTTTCCCCATTTTCCCTCCCTAGTACTCTCTGAACATCAATGAAAACAATATCCTCGGGTGAGGATTAAAAAAATAATTTAAAAAATTTAAAAATAATAAAAATAAAAAGGAAAGTAAACAGATGTGAAACAGTGTTTCAAATACTTTTTCTCTAAAATAACACTGCTGGATTAGCTTTAGTCCGACCGAGCTAAGTAAAGAAAACACAGATATCCTGTGTTTCCTTCTCTCTAATGAGGATATGATGGATGCTTGGCGAGTTAATCTGCCTGGGCCGCTCAGGAAGTCCCGGCGACTCCACAGATAAGGCAGGTTGCCGCCACTGAGCAGAGCGTCTGTCTTTCAGAGACCGGAAGATGGTTTTCATTCCCCTAGCACTGCCCGATCCATTCACCTCTCCAATTTCTTCCTCTCTTAAACTTACTCTTCTGAATCACTCCACACTGGTCAGGTCCCTTAAACACGATTGGGCCCATCCCGTCCCTGGCTGAGTGCCTCCTTGCCTAGTGCATTCATTATCCAGGGAAACAAGTAATAGTTACCACCCCCTTCCTCACTCCCCCTCTCACCTCCCAGCTTTCTGGATGACCGAGGAGCACTGTTATCTGAGACACTGGAAGAGTTTAAATCTATTCTCAAAGGTTTGTAACTTTTCAGGAATACTTAGGAACTTTGCATAGGAAAATTCTACAATGTGGGTAATTGTGGTTTCTGATGATTGTTTTCTTGTGCTTCTAAATTGTTACTCTCTGAATTGTAAAAAAAAAAAAAAGGGGGGGGGGCACTGAGAAATTCAGTATTTTTACCAACTAGCTTTCTACTATATACATTGCAATGGTGTTCAGTGGACAAGCATTGCTAAATTACCTGCAGTTAAACCTAAAAATAACAACAAATTTTGTGAACAACCCTGGAAGACCCAGTACGGAAACAACAGGCAGGGAAGTACCTTATTTCTCGAAGTTATTATCTGCTTAATGACCACCCGGTCTGCCAGCAGCAACACTTTTGTCACTGAAGAAAGGAGTAATCTCGCAGCCTTTATAACTCCCGTTTTGTCTGTAAAAATGGTGATCTGGCCACCAGATTCGGGGTGACGCGGGGTGCTTACATCTGTAAGTGCTGCAATCGTTTCTCCTAACAAGAAAGGCAAGGAAGAAATGTCACATTGGGAATTAAACACACTTAAGTTAAAGTCCAGATCTTTCTTGTATCTTGAAGGCATCACAATGCCCATCTCCATAACCTGAAGGCACCTGAGTTTTTGTGGACGCCCAGGGAGAGAAGACAAGGCTTTGGGCCCCAGTGAGAGGCACCTCAGTGAAAAGGGGGCCTAGAAGAATCATCCATAAGCAAAAGGAAACAATAAGGGAAATTATCTGTTGGCCAGCCTGAGCTCTGGGTGGAAAGCAAAACTAAAGGAGAGTATTCCTCCTGGGAATTCAGTCCAGGCCGCCCCTCACTCAGGCTTGCTGTTTGAACTGATACTTCCTATGACACCCGGCAGGAGCCATTCTGCCGAGTGAACTCCCAATCCTCTAGAAAATGTTCTTCACTGCTGCTATCAAAAACTTTATATATTTTTTTTCTTTTTTGAAAACCTTTTGACCTTTAATAACAACAGTCAATCTATAAAACAATACAAATATTTGTTCAAAAATGAAACAAGTGTGAAATTGTTTCTAAACCTTATTTTAATAAGATTAGAAAAATGAACTTTTGCCCTGGCCAGGTGGCTCTGATGGTTGGAGTGTCATCCCATACACCAAAAGGTTGTGGGTTCGATCCCTGGTTGGGACACATATGGGAGGCAACCATTCAATGTTTCTCTTTCTTTCTCCCTTCCTCTCTATCTAAAAATCAATAAAAAACATATCCTTGGGTGAGTATTAAAAAACAAACTTAATTATCTTGCAATGTTCTATTGATAGATGATCTTTTATATCCCAAATAGATCTGAGTGCATAATAGATTGATTTTCTCAAAAATTCGCTCTTTGTCAATAACGTTACATACACCCACCTATGTACCAACCTATGTGCTCAGGATCCTGAGTAAAAGTGTGACATAATGAAAGTCAAGGCTAGACCTAATGGAAACATATAAAATACACCTGAAAGGAAAGACTTAAAGTCAAGCTACTATTATATTTCAATTGTGTGTGTGAAGCAGTAAAGATCTTACTGGGATGAAGCCATAGGAATATAAAAAAAAGAAGAGGATGATTTGGCCCTGACCAGGTGGCTCAGTTGGTTGGAGTGTTGTCCCTCATACCAAAAAGGTTGCAAGTTTGATTCTAGATTAAGGCACATACCTAGGTTTTGCGTTTGATCCTTGGTCAGGGGGTGTATAGGAAGCAACTGATTGTTTCTCCCTCAGACTGATTTTCTCATATTCTCTCTCTCTCTCTCTCTCTCTCTCTCTCTCTCTCTCTCTCTCTCTCTCTCTCTCTCTCCCTCCCTCCCTCTCCCTCCCTCCCTCTCTCTCTCTCTCTCTCTCTCCCTCCCTCCCTCCCTCCCTCCCTCCCTCCCTCCCTCCCTCCCTCCCCCCCCCCACTTTATCTCTAAAATCAATAATCAAATTCTCAGGTGAAAATTTAAAAATATATATTTGGGAGATACTGATAAAATAAAATATAAAATTAGTACCTGAACAGTTGATAAGGAAAGTGAAAAATAAAAATAGCTTCAAGGTTGCAAACCTAAGTTACTTAAAATCAGAAGGACATGGAAAGGGAGAGGATAAATTTAGTGTCAGACAACAGGAATTTAAAATGACAATGGAAAGCCCAAATGATAAGCCACTTCATGTGGATGCTGAAATACCATGGCAACCGCTGAAGCTCTGCTAGTAGGTGAAGTCTGTGATCGCCAAGCCCCCAGGGATGCCCACCTCCTGGGATCTACATCCTTGAGCTTGTCCCTCCCACGTCATACAAGGTTTAGTATGGCAGTTTAATGGTATGTCATTTCCAACGTTGAATTATTAGGCATCGAGGTAGCCATTTTGGTGTGTTCTCTCTTTCTCTCTCTCTCTCTCTCAGAGGGACGGCAGCTACCATGCTGTAAGCAATTGTTACCACAGAGAGGCATTCAGGAGATGAAACTGAGGCCTCTGGTCAATGGTCCAGAAAGACGTGAAGCCTGCCAATGGCCTTGAGAAGGAGCTGGAAAGCAGGCCCTGCAGGCAGTCCACCCTCAGATCACTGCAGGCTCAGCCACACCGTAAGTGCAGCCACATGAGCCAGACCCAGAGCCGGCCAGTGAGCCACTCCCGGTGCCTGGCCCTTGGAGAAGATGTGAGGTAATAAACATTTGCAGTTGAAGTTGCTAAGTTTGGGTTAATTAGTTACACAGCCATAGGGAGCCATTACCAAGTTTTATGTAGTCAAATATGCAGAGAAAAGCATTTAGCCTTAAACCTAATACACACTGAGAGGGGCGGGAGAAGAAGTGTAAGTTGGCGTCTAACAGCAAGAGCTGAAAGGATGAAAACGTTTCCTCTGGAAAATGTTACTTTTCCCTGTGGCTCCCCATCACCGAAAGCGTTACACATGAGCCTGCACATATGGCAGTATTTAACCTTTCTGACTAAACCCCTGGCATTGAACTTCAAGTACGTGCGTTGGTCGCATTTGGCCTGCTCCACCAACAAGGTTCGGTGCTTCCTGAACATGATGAAGTCGTGCCAAGTGTAGATGGCTCAGAAATCAGTTCCCTGAAGGAGCCACAGAGCTTTCTTATAGCTCCACGGCTATCATCTCCAACGTATGTGTAACTAGCTAGTGTTGCATCTATTCTCCACCTCGTGAATGGCTACAAATTCATGTCACTCGGCACCTCCCTTTCCTTTAATCTGCAACTGACTTCTAGCTACTCACCGCGCTGTGGGTGCTTTGTGCATTCCTCCTGCTCTTTCCATGGCCCGGACCCTGCCTTGCTGCAGCCTGGCTTACTGTAAACCCTTCCCCGCCTTCAGTCTCCCCTCTCAGTCAGCCTTCATGTGTTCATTCCCTCCCTATTACCAGAAGTTTTCTAAGACAAAACAACAAGTCTTTCATCTGGCTCAAAATTCTTCCAATGACCATTTGCAGAATAATACCCACAGTCAGTCACGTAACATACAGAACCACGGCTGATCTGGTTGGCCTTTCCAAGTTTACTTGGGCTTATCCCCCCGCCCCCCATGGTGATTCTCCAAATCACCCGATCCCCCCTCAGGGGTGCCCGTGGAAGTAAACAGCACCATCGTTTACCCAGCTGTTCATCCTCCACACCTAGACCCTTCTTCCCACCACATCCCACCACTAAACTGTCAGAAAACCCTGCCAGTGTCACCTTGACGATATAACCAAATGCCACTTCTTTTCACCACCTCAAAGGCTATCCCTGGTCTAAGTCACCACCATCTATCACCTGAACGGCTACAACAGCCTCTCAACTGGTCTCTCTGATTTCACCTCTTAGCGCCTAAAACCCGTTCTTCCAACAGGAGCCAGCAGTCATCCTTTTAAAATATAAATGACATCAGATCACCACCCTACACAAAACCTTCCACTAGCTCCCCTGTTACGCTTACAACACAACCCGAGGTTCTTACCTTTGCCTAGAAGGCCAGACCTGGTTTTCTTCTTCTTTTTTCCCAGGTATCCATATACCAGTAGCTGGGCAGTCTCTTCTTCAATGTTACTTCCTTAGAGGGGTTTCTTGATACACCCCCCCCCCCCACCCCATCTCAGTAGTTCTCAACTGGGGACATGTGAGGATGTCTGGAGACATTCTGGGTTGTCACGATGGGGATGGAGGGGACCTACTGGCAGCTAATAGGTAGAAGCTAGGGATTCTGCTTAACAGTCGACAATGGAGACTTACTATCCCCAATGAAGGATTATCAACAAACCATTATCTACCCCAATATGTCAATGGCATCTACTCTCTCTGAAATATAATTCCATTGGTTTCTTAACTCTTTCTGGGCTTTGTCACTTTATTCGTGAAAACTATCACTAATCGACCTCATATACCTACCTATTGATTCATTTGTTTATGGTCTGGACAGAGGTGTGTCTCCCTTACTATACCAGAATCCGAGTTCCATGAAGGCAGACTTTTGACTAATCTGTGCATGGCTAGATACCTGTGGCCTAGAAAAATGCCTGGCATAGAGCCAGCATGCAGTAGACACAAAAATAGCTCTGGCTAGTGTGGCTCTTGGTTGGGTCTTGTACGCATGCACCAAAAGGTTGCTGATTCAATTCCAGGTCAGGGCACATGCCTGGGTTGTGGGCTCGATCCCCAGTCAGGAGCATGCAGGAGGCAGCTGGGCAATGTTTCACTCTCATATCAATGTTTCTCTCTTTCTCTCCCTCTACCTCTCTCTCTAAAAAATAAAAAACATTAATAATAAAACGTATTGCCGAAACCAGTTTGGCTCAATGGATAGAGCGTCAGCCTGCGGACTGAAAGGTCCCGGGTTCTATTCCGGTCAAGCGTACGTACCTTGGTTGCAGGCACATCCCCAGTTTCTCTCTCATCGATGTTTCTAAATCTCTATCCCTCTCATTTCCTCTCTGTGTAAAATCAATAAAATACATTTAAAAAATAATAATAAAATGTATTTACTAAAAGAATAAATGGATAAATGATACTTTCAGACCTAGGGCTTGAGTCAAGAGAAGTTCTGTAGACCTAGAAGCTAATCCTGTCCTTCTATGTTCCAGCATCTGTAATAATCATTGGATTAAACACAGTGCACATCTTTACTCAAAATGAGACAAAAATTGATAATCATGTCAAAAGCAGTACAACTGGTATTAACACACTTCAATATCAACATCCACATACCTGCTTGTTTAGCTTCAATACAGGCAATAGTTATTTCTTCTTTCAAATCCCAGTTTTCATTGGCTATAGCTTCCCCTACTTTAACAAATCTTCCAACTGCCAAGTTGACGGCTTGTCCTACACGCTGGATTGCTTGCAGGGTTTTATCAGACTTTTTGGTATTATCTTTGTGATTAATAAGCGTGGTAATCTAAAAATAAAAGACAAAAGGAACTTGTTTAAATTTTATTGCAATCACTTGTTTTTAAAGCAATATCACAAAGGCCAAGTACATTAATCCTGGCATCCTGGATCACCTAACAGACCCAATTCAAAGTTTAATGCTTCAAGCCAGAGGGAAACAAGAAACATCCTGCATTGCTCCTCAGGACAATGCTCCCATTGATAACAATTCCAAGTTTATGAGAAGGCAGATAGCTTGGGCATGAAGTTCCAGAAGCCCTCCAGGTATTTCAACAAATCTTTGAGACAGGAAAAAAATAAGAGAGGCTAGATCATTAAGTTCAAAGAATCCACAGAAAATCAAAGCACTTCAATTCTAGTTTCTTTTGCTATGACTTGAGTTACTATGAATAGAAAGCCTTTTTATTATTATTTACTGATTTTCAAGAGAGAGGAAAGGGAGGAAGGAGAGAGGTAAAGAGAGAGAGAGAGAGAGAGAGAGAGAGAGAGAGAGAGAGAGAGATCTATTTCTTGCTCCACCCATTCATGCATTCATTGGCTGATTCCTCCTATAAGTGCCATGACCAGGGATCGAACCTACAACTTTGACTGTATCAGGACAACACTCTAACCAACTGAGCTGCCCGGCCAAGGCTAAAAAGAGTATCTTCACCTTGCATTCCACTCTACTGCCTAGCACAAGTTCATAGCTTATACAAAATGATGTAATACATGGTTACTGAATTCAATAGATACTGAGAATGACCATTATAACCTGTGTTCCCTGAGTTTTGTTGTAGCTCAAAGTAAATGAAATACCAAGAGTCTGAACACTTGGTTCCAGGCCCTGAAATAAAATACAAAAGGTGATAAGTTAAGCTGGTTGAAACAAAAATAAATCTTCAAAATGACTTATAAAATTAGCACGTGAACTTTGCTGACTTATAAAAATATTTAAAGGATGTTACAGATTAATAAAATATAGATCCTAAATAGTAGATGGCCATGGAACATAATTTTGAAATGATTTCTATAAATATATCAACAAAGACCAAATGGAGAATTAAGAGAACAGGAAGGGAATCACTGTCTGGGTGATAATTATGTGCCAAGCACATTCTATGTTATGGTATTAATAGTTTAGAATCAGAAAGGCCTGTGTGTGAGCCTTGACTCTGTCTGGACTAGCTACATGACCTAGGGAAATGAATTTACCCTCTTTAAATATCCTTATCTATAATACTGGTTTTCAAATTTTAAATACTTCCCAGATGCCAGACCCTAAGGATGCATCAGTAAACAAGACAATTACAATCCTTTCTCTGTCTGGTTAACTGTCCAGTAGAATAACAATAATATATATATATATATATATATATATATATATATATATATATATATATATATATAAAATATGCAAATCAACCAAATGGAAGAACAACCACAATGACCACTCGACCAGTCACTAGGAGGTGCACTGACCACCTGGCCAGCAGGCTCCGATTACCCGACGGCAAATGGGGAACCAGGGCTGGGGAGGGGTGGGGCCTGCTGCCGGCAGTCAGGCCTAAGGACTGTACCCATATAGGAATTTCATGCACCAGGCCTCTAGTTCAATTATATAAACTGTATTTGTTGCACACCTATCATATGCCAAATAAAATTCCAAGCAATGATGAAACAGCAATGAACAAGAAAGGCCCATGCTTTCATGGAGTTTACATTGTAATGTTGGGGGACACAATAATCACATAACTAGGTAAACAAAAAAATCTTAAATATAAGTGCTATGCAGATATTAAAATAGGAAAAGCGATAGAAAGTATGTGTAGCTGAAAGTAATTTCTCTTCCTTTCTGAGAAAATGATATTTAAGTTGAAATGTAAATGACATCAAGTAGCCAGGCTGGCCAACATCAGGGAAAAAGTATTCTAGCGAAAAGAAATCATTGTTTTAAAAAAGAGCGGGGTCTCCTAAGGAATGAGGTAAGACCAGAAGTGGTTAAGGTGGGCCAGAGGGCAAGTATAAGACTGACATCCAACTGGTAGGCAGAGACCGGCTATGAAGGCTACGAGTGGGAGTCGAGTTTGTATTTTCTTGTAAGTGCAATAGAAGTAGGAAAGTGATAGACTCTCTAGTGGTTTTGATGTGTGTCCATAGTCTTTGATATTTCACCTTTCAAGAGCTGGAGCCTCATTCCTCTCTCCCTAAGCATGGGCTGCACTTGGAATAAAGCAGAAGCAACAACACACTACTTTTGAGGACGGGTCATAATGATACTCCAATTCCCATCTCACTCTGCTCTAAGATTATTCACTTTAGGAGAGCCAGTTGCCCTGTCATGAAGACATCAAAGTTTTAGAGTTTTCAGTGTACAGATCTTTCACCTCCTTGGTTAAGTCTACTCTTAAGTATTTTATTGTCTTTGATGCTATTGATAATAGAATGGTTTTCTTTATTTCTTTTTCAGAGATTTTATTGTTAGCATATAAAAACTGATTTCTTTCAACAATAAATATTTTTAAAATAAAAATAAAAGGAAACTAAATAAAAACAACTGATTTTTGTATATTGATTTTTAAAAATTAAATTTATTGTGGTAGCATTGGTTAATAACATTATATAAACTTCAGGTATACAATATTATACTTTGATATCTGTATACTATATTGCATGTTCAATATCAAAAATTTAGTTTCTTTTTATTACCTTAGAAACCAAGAAGAATCTTTAAGCAAGAAAGGATCTTAGAGGAAAATCTTTCAACTTTTTACTATTATATTGAGATATGGTCCTACTATATCTAATTTATTGAGCATTTTCATTATGAAAAAATGTTAAATTGTGTCAAATGCTTTCTGTGCATATATTGAGATGATCATATGATTTTTCCCCCCTTTCGTTCTGTTAATGTGGCATATCACATTTATTGATTTGCATTTGTTGAACCGTCCTTGCATTGCAGAGAGGAATCCCACTTGTTCAAACTTTTATTTATTATTTTTTTAAATATATTTTATTGATTTTTCATAGAGAGGAAGAGAGAGGGATAGAGAGTCAGAAAACATCGATGAGAGAGAATCATCGATCAGCTGCCTCTTGCATACCCTTTACTGGGGATGTACCCGCAACCAAGGTACATGCCCTTGACCGGAATCAAACCCGGGACCTTTCAGTCCGCAGGCCGATGCTCTATCCACTGAGCCAAACTGGTCCTGGCAAGTTCAAACTTTTATTTATTTATTTATTTTTATTCCAAGTTCAAACTTTTATACTACCCTATAATGCTTCAAAAAAAATCCCAATGAAGCAGGTATTTCCAAATGAAGAAATTGCACATCATGAAGAGTAAAGAAATTAGACATCAAGAAGACATTCTGAGTCTAGACATTCTGACTCCAGAGCCTAGCCTCTTAACCATTTAGCCATACTGCCTTATCTGCCTTATGTTTATAAGAGGATTAAACGAAATGATCCACATATTGTGTTTAACAAAGTACCAAGTTTATAGCAAGCACTCAAGATATATTATAATTAGCTCTCTTATTTAATTCTCAGGCATTATTAAAGATAAGAAAACTGAGGCTGAGTGAAGTGAAGATTTGGCTCACACAGCTATAAAGTGGCCTCGTTCAAAATGTGAACCCAAGTTTGTCTGACACCAAAGCCCACCCATTACTCTCCTTTGGTGGAGGTTTTCAATCTTCCTGATTTTTTTGAGGGTGGCAGAACACTGTCTTCAAAATAAAATATTACCTAAAGCCATTAGGTTATCATGTCACAGAGGAGTTGCTAAGGGTGAATTTTGCGGGTGACTGTGGGCCATGCTGCTGGGAAGCAGGGAGACTAATATGAGCCCGTTAGCATCAGCTTGGTTTTTCTCCACATCGGATATACTAGGGAACTCTCCAGACCACCTGGGGAACCCAGGGCTAGATCAACATTGATTATTCCAAACAACCACCTGGGAACAGACTCAGTTTGTCAACCCTTCATTTACAAAAAGCTTTAAACTTTCAGTCATAAAGAAAAGAGTTCCTGCAATTAGGCTAAAATATCAACTATTGTTCAGTTCTGAAACACACACTTTGCTTTCACTACAAGCATCCTCCTGGGTGCATAATTAGGTGTGGCTGGCTGTCTTCCTCTTACTCCAAGCAGAATAGAAAATGTTCCAGTCCAAATAGAGGTATGCCTACAGAGGAGCCAAGTCAATTTATAAAATTCCTTACTAAGAGGTCTACTTATATCCTAGAATAATGACCAAACTTTTAAAAAAGGGAGGTTCAAAAATTATTCATGTTGTTTAAAAAAAGGGGGGGGATTTAGAAAAGCCTAAATAAATAAAAATCACCCATAATTCCACTATCCCATGAGCATTTTGGCATGATTCTTTCAGTCTTGTTTTATACATATACATATACATATACATATACATATACATATACACATGTAAACACACAGTTTTACAAAATTCAGATCAAACTTCAATTTCCTCATCATGCAAAAAAATAAAAATAGGTAACCTGTAACATTAAGCACAACAGTAGCAAGTACTATTTTATGTGTTTTGCATGTGTTGATTCATGGAATGGTTATATCTCTATGAGGTAGATATTCTTACCACCCGCATTTTGCAGTTAAAGAACCTAGTTTGAAGAGGATAAGTATTTGCCCAAGGTCACAATGAGTTGCCTTCACTCTTAATCACTACACTTGCTCTTTCCTCCAGGATTGTCTTAAGGATCAAGGGAAAGACAGCTGATGAGAGTGCCTTGTACATTACATAATGCACCAAAAAAAAAAAAATATTTTAGCTACTGTTCTGCAGAATAGGAGGCGTCTTATATTGGGAGTCACAACCTGGAGCTGCCCTGGCACTCACCTAGAGAATGCCTGGTTGAGCCGGAAAAGAGGGCAGAGAACGGGTCTCTGGGGAAGAAAGAGAATCTGATACAATGAAGAACTCCGCTGGGGAATGAAAGAGTAAGACCTAGGGCTCACTTGATACCTTCTAACCAACAGGGT